TGAGCGGTCCCTAATACTGTTAGAGTCAACTCGAGCAAACACGTGTAAATGATGTCAAATTAAAAAAGACGTATTTGGAGTTTGAGAATCTCACACAGGAAAAATATAATCAGGTTTGAAACTGTTTGAAACTGTTAATATGATATGAGTCCTTAGGCTTTATGTAACTGTTCACAGTGATGAATTAAAGTTAGATCAAATTCTTACCTGATAAATGGGGATATTGTTTCCAAGGAAGGAATTCGGAATTAATTTCAAATTAACATTTGAACAGAATTTTCCGTAATATTCAGATGCCTAAATGTGTGCTGGATTTCATTCAGATAAGTAGTAGGCCTCCGGATGGCTATCGATTGTGTCCTGGCTAAAAATGTTAACTAAAGCTACAGATATATATGTTAATACCAAGTTTTAGGACCCGTGAAGATCCGGGTTAGAATTGATCTTTAGTAACCCGTGCTTGACATAAGAGGGGACTAACTGGATCGGGTGGTTGGCACATGTCATCGTATCCCACTTGCGTGTGAAGCCAATATCTTGTGACCCCGCAGTGATATTGCTGGAATATTGCTAAAAGCGGCACGAAACTAAACTCACTCACTCAGCCACAATTAGTGGACAGCCAGGAGCTGCAGTGTCCACGTTGGGTATTTCCATATTTGACGTCGTATAGGAAAATGAAGGTGTTGGTGGTTCAGCTGTAATATTGTGGGACACTTAGGGAAAGGAAGGTTATAACAGTTTTCATATCGTGCAGATATGGAAACTTAAAGTCTCGATAATACACTGAATAAATGAAATTGTTATATACACCTACATCAGCAATATCACTGAAATAAATAGCAAAGATCAGTCAAGTTGAACGTACTTTTTTTTAAAAATAATTATTATTTTTTTATTATGATAGCAAGTGATACAATATTCATACAGTTGGATAATACACACAACACATATATACAAGCTGCGGAATAAATGGGGGACGACATGATTTATGGGTGTATGAATAAAGTACAAAGAAAGAGGTATAGGGATGTAGGAAAGTAAGAAAATAGAGGAGAGAAAGGATGGTATTATCAAGCATTGGTTTGCGTCCATCTATATTAGTATAGGGGCCAGTTTTTCTGCAAATTTGGTCTTGTCTCCAGAAATGAATTTCTCTATGTTGTGATTATATTTTATTAGCGGTAATAATTGGGAAAATATGGGAATAGTCTTATTGTAATGACAATTTTGAAAGTAACACTTGGTTATTATAAAAAGGTGGTTTTCAAGGATACTCAACTTTGAATCGCCAAGAAGGAAATTATTCATATTTAAGTCTAATTTTAAATATGTTCTACTTTCATACCAAAATTTGAACTCATTTACCATAGTTTGAACTTTTCGACAGGAAAAAATAAATGTTCTAGTGTTTCACTTTCTGATTGGCAAAATGTACAAATATTATCCTCTATCAGTCCTATTTTGTAAAGAAATGATTTTGATGGTATGATACGATGGATGAGTTTATATTGGAAGTTCCGTGTCTTGCTGTCCTCAACACAATTTCGTATTGTATTAAAACATGGGAACAGGTAAGTTTCTGATATATATCTCCTACGTAGGACATACTATCTCTTACATATGACTTAGTATCTCTATGACTTAGTATAGGACTTAAAATCTCCTACGTAGGACTTAGTATCTCCTACGTAGGACTTAATATCTCCTACGTAGGACTTAGTATCTGCTACGTAGGACTTAGTATCTCCTACGTAGGACATACTCATGACACTAACTCATAGGCGTAGGAACAGTTTAAAAGTTGGGGGGGCAAGATTTCGAAATTGATAACGGGGGGGTGGGGTGTGGGGTGGAGAGAGGAGATATATGAAAAGGACAGACGAGTTCACTTGCTTTGCAATTTCTCCACAAAGAGTGTCCCAGCCCTTGTCTGCAGCTTTAGAATACTTCACAAGAAGGTCTTTATAATAACTTATTCTCTTTATATTTGGTCTTAAATATCTGAAAAATAAGAAATTGGAGTCACTGTCATTTTTTCTTTATGATAATCATATTTTGGGTGCTGACAAATAGAACAATAGGGTACTGAAAAACAATAGTTTTATACTATAAATATATTATAATTACATTCAATAACAAGGCAGAAGTGAGCACAGCTCACATACCCCCGCTTATAGTCTGATCGCCTTCAATACCATTATTGAATACCAAAATAATATTTTAGGAAAACTTTCAATTTTGGCATCATGCAATTGAAAGCCAAAACCCAGAATGGCACCATAAGGGTAAGTACCATGCCAAATTTGAAGTTTGTAAGTGGTACAGTTTTTGAGTTATGCTCAGAGAAACCATTCCGGACGCACGGACGCACGGACACACGGGCGGACGGGCTGAGCGCTATATACCAGCGACTACGTCGTAGCGGGGGTATAATAATGCAGCCATTCTTATTTCATACATGAATTCGGCTTTCAGATAAAACTAGCTCTCTCACTGCCAATGTATGAGTTTGAAATCGTGTCTTATTGTTATTGTTTAGATTTTCAATAAATCAATCAAACAGCACCTATTATACTTAAAATATGGCTATTACTGTAAACTAAATGTTACTGTATAGACTACACTGTAATGTCAATGTATGTTGTCAACTTACCGCTGATTCGAATCCATGTTGGCTGTTAATAACAGCCTGACTGCCTCTACTTTCACTTTTGAGTGACATGAATTAAAAATGAATCTAAAAATTTGGATTCTATCATTAGAGGCTTGAATTTGTGTTTAATTCTTTTTGATCATGTTATTTTTCAACGTTACCAGAGGCTTGAATTTGTGTTTAATTCTCTATTATGGAAACCCTAGGAAAAATTTCCAGATTAATGTATATTAAAAATATGGGGGAAAGAGTCCAGGATCAGACGGTTTTCCAGCAGAATTCTACAAGTTTCCCTGGAAAGATATCGGAATTATTCTCCTCAGATCTATAACACATGCTTTCTATATTGGAACTTTGTCAATTTTTCAAAATCAGGGCAAATAACCTGCATTCAGGCGTTACCTAAAAAACTGGTGCCCAATAACTTTATCAAATGTAGACTATAGAATAGCTTCTGGAGTAATAGCAAATAGAATCAAGACTGTTCTATGAAATATTTTTAGCGAAACGCAATCGGGCTTTCTTAAGGACCGATTCATTGGGGAAAATACTGAAATATTATATGATATCATGAATTACTGTGAAATACACAAAAAGCCAGGGCTACTTATAACAGTAGATTTTGAAAAAGCCTTTGACACTATAGAGTGGCAATTTATAGATAAAGCACTTGAAGGATTCAATTTTGGACCTTCTCTGAGACAATGGATTAAATTGTTTCAATCAAATAGTAGCAGTGCAATAATAAGCACAGGGCACATCTCAAATTATTTTAATCTTGAAAGAGGCTGTAGACAAGGAGATCCTATCTCCCCCTATCTATTCATCATTTGTGAAGAATTATTATCTATATCTATTAAGAATAGAACTTGGATAAAAGGTATAGATGTTTAATGGTGTTGAATATATAACCTTCCAATATGCTGATGATACAAATTTCACCTTAGAAGGATCACAGGAGGGACTCTCGGAACTTATTGGAACATTACAAGATTTTGCTAACGCCTCCGGTTTAAAGATTAATTGTGACAAGACCAAGGCTATTTGGATTGGTTCCAAAAAAATTCAAATGAAAAGCTTTGTCCCCATTTGCCTTTGCAATGGTCAAAAGTTGAACGTACTTTTGCTTATTCCCTAGTTGTTTTTATTGTTGAGGAAAGTGTGGAGGAATTGAGGACTGGGTACGACATCTGAATGCTAATGATAATGAAACAGCCGAGGTAAGGGATCAATTGTTGCAAATTCAATTCTCTACACAATAACTTCCCGAAACATAAACACATTTATACATTTATTCGGTACATTAATTCAGAATAATATTATGGAGCTTGGGCATAAAATTAGCAATTACAATTCATCATGCACATCAACAACGGTCCATCGGTTATCTGTGCCATGAGCAACCCATATGTACCATCTGACAAAATACAACACGCACGCACGCGCGCACGCGCGCACGCGCGCACGAACGCACACACAGAGAGGGAGGTACATAACGGTAATTTTTCAAACATGTCAGCAGTTACTAGAATGACATTTCATAGTTTTAACATCATTCCCAAACTGAACTTACATTATGGCTAACGCACGAGGAGACAAAATAACTTTTGTTTTTTAGTTATTAAAGAAAAACAAAAAAGGTAGGAAATCAAAAGGTACTCTAAAACCATCCACCCACACCACACCACCACTCTAGGCATCCGGCATACCACTTAATATGTGTCATCACCCAGAGCTCTTGAGTCCTATTAGTAGCCTCAGCTGGTGCAACTCAACTAGGCATGCAGGGATTTTACATATGACCCTGTATAGGCGTAAGCTTTGGGCTGAATGTTTAACTGATTTTCACACTTTGTCAGATATAAAAGAATAAACCTAAATTTCAATATTTTCATATTAGCATATAGATTAAGATTGCATAGCATCTAGCGTACTATCCAGCCCATTTCTGTTTACAGGCCGACCTATCTAACATAGGTACAACTAACTGCGGTGCAAAATAGCATTCGCCTTTCAGACACAACAGAATACAATTCTGTTGAATAGTCGATTACCCATGCAATTTGTGAAATCCAATTTTATTTTTCTTCCGTCGCGATATTTCAAAGTTTACGCTGAACACCGGGTGTCCTTTAACTCACATTCAACACTGTTGGTATATGTACAAAATAGAATTTTTATTCGTATGTAAAGTAATAAAATACAACATTTTATAAACTATGTACACTATATACACGAATGGATGATCACTTTTTTAAAAAGTAATATATACAGTATATATTATCTCGAAAGCACCCAGATAATGACGCCATGTTGTATTTTGGTCTGTGAATCATGGCGAACTTTACACCCATTTAAGGAAGTAGACTTCGTGACATCTGGTTCTCTGTCGGCCGTCAAAGACAGATTGGAACCTGCAGGCGGGGTACACAACGTTGTTGTGAGTCCAGAATATCCTGAAGCCCTCGTCGTACAGACCCCGGAGGACGTTCAGCCGGGAGATGTACCTGGACCTCTGCTCTTTGCCAAATACGTGGAACTCCAACGATAGCTGTTTCACACCTTTAAGTGAACCTGTACTGAAAGCGTATCTCAAAGCTCCCCATTCGGAGTCTTCGATGTCGATCTTTACGTAGTCAATATCTTTCTGGAAATGAAGAAATAGAAGGAGTGAGTGATTGAATATGGTTTAACGCCGCTTTTCGCAATATTCCTTGGTTATCATGGCGGGGGACACCAGAAATGGCTTCAAATAAAGATATGAAGAAACTACTAAATCATCCACGAGGGAGACATTAGGGTCCGTTTTAACAAACCCAATCAAACTGTCATCTGACTGACTGACTGACTGAGTTTGGTTTTACGCCGCTTTTAGCAATATTCCAGCAACATCGCTGCGGGGGACACCAGAAATGGGCTTCACACATTGTACCCATGTGGGATTCGAACCCGGGTATTCGGCGTGACGAGCCAACGCTTTAACCACTAGGCTACCCCACCGCCCCTGTCATCCGAGCCCCACAGCTTAGCGTTACATGACAGGTACTGAGCATACCGTTGAGTACATGTGTTTATCAATGTGTATATTCCTACCTCAGCGTGTCCGTTGTCTTGCCTTATTGCCGTCAGTGTCTTCATTGGCCAGTTCCTCTTGCCGTTACCGTTGATGTCCGCAAGTCCAAGGTTGTGAAAGTTGACCAGCTTCCCCCTCAGGTGATCTTCCTTGTTCATGCTGTAGTATGGAACGTGGTTATAATCACACAGTGATTGATAAACATTGGTAATAAACATATCTTCGATCTGGTCAGCGCCACAACGTGATTAAATACAAAGATGGCCCAAATCAACAGAGTGAGTGACCATCATCCAACAAGTGAATACTTTGTTATTGATTTTATAATATAGACATTTTGCTATGAGAATAATGGTGCTGTGGTGGGGTAGCCCAGTGGTTAAAGTATTCGCTTGTCACGCCGGAATCCCGGTTCGATACTGGGTACAATGTCCGAGGCCAAATTCCGGCGCCTCCAATAATCTACAGACCACTCACAAGTATTATTCATAGCACATGGTGTGAGTAGTTGTCATGTATGTCATCTGTGAGTTTCAGTGGCTGCTGTCGACTCTTACCTGGGATCAAAGGCATGCACTTCACAGCCGTAGGTGTCAGCAACGTCATCGTCAAAGCTGAAGTCGTTGTCAATGCTGTAATTGAAACATGAAGGTGTTGCAGTTTGGTAAACATGACATTGGATATATGTTTTATTTGTTACTCGTGAAAGTATGTACACCTATATTATACATGATGGTATTATTATCGTTAATGTCAGCTATACATATACATATGGCTAACCACCCGTGAAGATCCGGGTTCGTCTTCAGCAACCCGTGCTTGTCGTGAGAGGCGACTAACGGGATCGGGTTGTCAGATTCGCTGACTTCGTTGACACATGTCATGGTATCCCAGTTGCATAGATTCATGCTCATGCTGTTGATCATTGGATTGTCTGGTCCAGACTCGAATATTTACAGACCCCTGCAATATAGCTGGAATATTGCTGAGTGTGGAGTCAACCAACAGCAAAAATCAAACATATAGGTTACCCGAATGAGTAGACGATGCAGTTGTCTTTCTCCAGCTTGTAACGTCCCTGTACACAGATGTCCCAGCCACCGCCGTGAATGTTGCCCATCCTTATCTTGTCGCGGCACAACACTTGGATGTTGGTCATGTAACTGAAATACAGCATAACAAGTTAGTGTTGGTGAGATATGCGAAATCAGCTTAAGTTAAGTTAAGTGGATGGGTAAGTGTTCTTTGAATAACTTCATAAAATGACAATGGCGTCAAAATATTTACTGTCTGAGAGAATTTATATGAGAAATACTGTGTATATTATCCGTACAATGCATTAGTTATATAGATGACAATAATTTCATACGCAGTGATGATGATGATGATGATGATGATGATGTCAAAACAAACATGTGTAATAACTGAGTACAATCATACAGTTGAAACTACACTGAGTACAATCATACAGTTGAAACTACATTTTACACCTCGTATTCATACCAGAATATTTGATCATTTATAGTATTGGACGCCTCGTTATAACAAAATGACCTACTCGTTATAAAGAGTTGACAGCTGTTTGTTGGTCATGCTCTGGAGCGTCTCCTCCATGGGGATTGGATGGGCTGCCTCACCCTCTCCTTTCAATGGCGCTGACTTTTGTTCGGACCGCTTCTCTTTTGTCTCCCCTGCAAATGATACACCGTGTTATAGGCCGGGAAAATATGGGTGTCCTACAGTTGGTAAACATCACTCAATTTGTTTAACTGAATTGCGAAAGAAAACAACAGTTGCAAAATCGTTCAACGTGTCATGCAAAGCTTCCAGAACTTTTTATGATAGAAATGTGGAGGATATTTCCAACCATGGCACATGAAGTGACAAAATTGATAAAAGCTGCAATTTCCCAATTTCCCCTTGTACCTTATGGGTTTTTTTCAGGTTAACAATTGACTTGCCTGTGCATGTGTTTCTGACAATTCGTGCCCACGATAAATTGCTCTTTAGTCATCAAATCTACACACACTAACATAACATCGCCTTATCGTTGGAAATGTTTTATGCAGCAAAGAGTAATATCCGTTATTTTTCATGTCACATACTGGACCAGACAAACAAGTGACTGTACGGAAGAGTAACTGTCTATGGTGCATGACCAAAACTACCCGATCGACCCCCATACATTAGTCTATTCTCGCGTTAACAAGGGACACAATGCACCAATTTCCACGGAGATACGAAACATCTGTGCTCGTTCATTCACAAAAAGTCAAGCGCGGACACATCCTACGGTACCAACTTCATACACAGAGATAAACAGTTAAAGGAGAAGAGCAGGGCCTAGATTTTCGAAGCTCTCGTAAGTAAGATAGTCGTAAGTTAATGTTTAGTATGGGACTTACGACTATCTTAGCGCTAAGAGAGCTTCGAAAATCTAGGCCCAGGACTTTAGGAGATGTCGTATCTCACATACCTGAGTGTTCGACTTCAGTCCGACCCTTTCTTGCAGATCCAGGAACATCGGTTGTCTTGGTCGCGTCCTTGAAGCAATGTACAGCAGTAGAGCAGACACCACGAATGCCGTCAAAACGGGCACATACCTGGCAAACTTCATTCTGAGACAGGTACAACGCTCAGGTGAGGTACGGGTGATCAATATCCTCAGTTAGCCGTCTGTAAGAAAGGAAGCACGTATTTCAATTTGAAACGAAACGGTGGCTGGAGATCCATTCTAGCCCGGATCTTAACAGGCGGAATGTCCAAGGTCACTGGACACAAATCATTATTGTCAGGGACTACTGATCCCAGGGAAGACTGACTGACTGACTGACTGAGTTTAGTGTTACGCCGCTTTTAGCAATATTCCAGCAATATCACGGCGGGGGACACCAGAAATGGGCTTAACACATTGTACCCAAGTGGGGAATCGAACCCGGGTCTTCGGCGTGACGAGCCAGCGCTTTAACCACTAGGCTACCCCACCGCCCTCCCAGGGAAGAATGTCCGGCGGATATTGAGTTCGTAGGGCTGAAAGATCTACGTCAGCGGCCTTCATTCAACGTTATCAACTCCTGACTGCCCAATACGCCTCAATACGCATGCATATGACTCATTGTAATCCAAAGCTGGACACCAAAACCGATAAAAAGCACACAACCCTGCAACAGATTCATGTCTTACCTTATTTCGTTATTTGTGACTTCAACAGCACTCACGTCACTGTATTCCGCTGGTCAAGTCTATGAACTGACCACTCTCACCTTGAATGACCTTCAACTGTTCTTGGCATCTTTATAGTTACACCAAGTAGTATAACACAGTCACGTGACATGCAGCTACAAGCCTGTAGGCAACTGCTATGCAATACCCATCATCACCCATGCACCCGGAGCATCATTATAGAGCAATTACCCCATCCACTGATTAAGGAGCCGGTTGCTTTGTAATGCAATAAAGCTCTTATCACCTGATATAACCCGTCAGTTGCACTTATCAGTTCTAACAGTCTTGGGTCTTTGAAACGAATTTTAGTGATACAAACCACATTGGACAAAGGTTATGACACTCTCTATATGCTTTTTCACCTGGAGATTGTATATTTGAAAAGTTTTCCGCCTTCATATTTTTGCGAACGGGTAACAATGTGGCTAACTGTATCTGAAAAGTTGCAAAGTCAAAACATTTGAGAATTACTTTTGCATGTTTCATTTTACTTTACTGAATCGTTTCATTACACTATGCGGGGCGGTGGGGTAGCCTAGTGGTTAAAGCGTTCGCTAGTAACACCGAAGATCTTGGTTCGATTCCCGACATGGGTACAATGTGTGAAGCCCATTTCTGGTGTCTCCCGTCGTGATATTGCTGGAATATTGCTAAGAGCAGCGTAAAACTAAACTCACTCACTCCCTCCCGCCGATTGCTAAAAACGGCATAAAGCCAAGCTCGCCCACTCACTCATTACACTATATGGTTGTACAAAAAGTTACTTGTACATCTGGATTTAAGGTTGTATTATATTATGTTAATCATGTTTCAAAATTTCATTCATTATGTTTACACTAATTACGGCGAAATCTTATAAGAATTAACGGAATGTGAATCAGTGTTAAGGGGGCGGTGGGGTAGCCTAGTGGTTAAAGCGTTGGCTCGTCACGCCGAAGACCCGGGTCGAATCCCCACATGGGTACAATGTGTGAAGCCCATTTCTGGTGTCCCCCGCCGTGATGTTGCTGGAATATTGCTAAAAGCGGCGTAAAACCAAACTCAGTCAGTGTCAGTCAGTGGATTAGTGTTACATACTTCAACTTTTAATTGATCAGGCTTGTGTGGGAGGTTACTCAAATTATCGATCACTCAGATAAAATGTTTTGGCCATTTGTGGATGTGTCTTGCATTTACGTTACCTCTTGGCCTATTGCCTTATGATTGAGTGTGTAAGTTGTGTTTAACGTGACTAGGGAATGCCTAGATGATGCTATAGCTAGTGTCCGACGTTTACATACATGTACATAATATGCTCTCTGCCTCATACCATTCATTCACCTGATTAACGTTGTGTTCCTTATAATAGAGTTGTTGACATCCATAAAAAACCCTCTTCCTTATGTTTACCATTTAGGTGAACCCCACCAGCACTTCGCCCTTATGAGTGAGTGAGTTTAGTTTTACGCCGCACTCAGCAATATTCCAGCTATATGGCGGCGGTCTGTAAATAATCGAGTCTGGACCAAACAATCCAGTGATCAACAGCATGAGCATCGATCTGCGCAATTGGGAGCCGATGACATGTGTCAACCAAGTCAGCGAGCCTGACCAACCGATCCCGTTAGTCGCCTCTTACGAGAAGCATGGGTTGCTGAAGGTTCATTCTAACCCGGACCTTCACGGGTTCGCCGCTATGAGACAGGTACCATATGCAGTATTATGTATACTTAAGGGTTACATAAATTATATTTTGTGAGTGACGTAATCGTAAAGATACGGGTTTGGAACTGATCTTCAGCAGTCACTGTTTGTTGTATAAGCCGACTCAACGGCATGTCATCGTATCCCAAATGCGTAGATCGATGCTCATAATGTTAATCACTGGATTGTCTGATACAGACTCGATGATTTACAGATCGCTCTCATATTGCCGGACAATGCAGCGATAAACAACAAGCAAACAAACAAACAACGAACAGTTGTAAGATGTAGCAAAACCTCGTTATTCCGGACCCGTTTATACCGAAAAAGTCCACTTTATGGCCATGATGGTGTAATGCAGCTGGGACGCCAATAACCAGATCCACCCCAGGAGAAAATGTTCATTTACCGCTGAAATTTCGTTTGACCTTTTCTGTGAGAATTATACCACATTTTGAGTGAACGTTAGGTGCCAATTGTAGGGCAGGATATGGTCTTATATTTGCAAACACGTTGGTTGATAACCTATTCTCCGTGATTCAGTCATACAATTTTCGCCACTTTTTTGTTGTTTGCGCTTAAGGGAATCTCTTTTGGTGTCTCCTCGAGATTGGTAATTCTCAGTCGTTTGAGGCAGAGAAATTTCCTTTGGAGAGTTCCGTCCCTTGCTAGTATCAGGAAGCAGTGATCGAATTACAGTTCGCCAAGTCTTTAACACCATACCCATGCTTGTGGGTTTAGCCAAAATGATACAGCTCGTGATAAACCAAACTTACTCACCAAGTCACTCACTCACTTAAAATATGGTGGGTAAGCTGAAACAATAACGCATTAAGAGGAATTTACTCATTTGAGAGAAATTTAGTTCTTTCCCATCTGCGTTAATATTGTTATACCTTGATTTTTATCATTTTATAGTTTCGGTCGGAGAATACTTCTCTGAACATTTCTATTTGATTTCAAAAACGTAAACAACAAACAAATACAACAAAACATCTATTGTATTCAAGAGTGCTGTATATAACCTGCAGACAAGACTCTTTAATCGTTTTCAATACACATGGTAATCATGATTTGCACGAGAGCACGTGATAATCGAGATTTCCGAGAACAATCGTCATACCATAGCTTGTGTTTCTGTGCGCCTAACAAACATCGTGTTTAAAATCTAAAGATATTTGAATCGCCGATGTCTCAGCAAAATGGAACTGACAGCCGATGGTCAAAATCAGATGATGTCCCCAGATCGCGGACACGAGTACCCATATGACGGGTGGCCCCGGGCAATTGTAATAGATGGTGTGTATAGATAAATGTTATTTCATAGGCTTAAGTCTAACACGGCAATGAGGTAATGGAGGGCCCCTCAACTTAATGTTATCAATCGTCCCTTTAGGCTAATCCAGTATAGATAAATCTGAATTACATTCATAAACGGCGATGATGATTGAGGTATGTCATATGGTTCAGTCGGATAAGAAGTCGTTGATCGTAGTATAGAGTTGCGTCCCTTGGACATGCAAGATTCTATGAACGTGGGTTCAAATCCCGAAATCCCGACTCGCCAACATGTCTCTTAGACTTCGGGGTCGCCTACCAAAGCTGACAAACCTAAATACAAATAGAATAATTTCTTTCTTTCTTTCTGTATTATTTATTTATTTTATAACCAGTCCAGCCCCAGACTCTATTTCGCACAATTTTACGACTGCTTCGTATACAAATAAGTAAAAAGGCCTACATAAGCTTACCGAAAACCCGTGTCTGAATTCAACCAAATGCTTCTGAAAGGCTCTCCTATGCAAGGAACCCGTGAAGATCCGGGTTAGAATTGATCTTCAGTAACCCATACTTGTCGTAAGAGGCGACTAACAGGATCGGGTGGTCAGGCTCGCTGACTTGATTGACACATGTCATCGTATCCCAGTTGCGCAGATCGATGCTCATGCTGTTGATCACTGGATTGTGACACACACACACACACACACTAATTAAGATAGTCATAAGGTGTGTATATATTGATCCTAAAATTGATCACATGTCGAACTCATTTTTCGCATACGATGATGTTGGACTGGACTATGCTACTCGCCCATGTTTAGTTTGAACGACACTGGCAGTCATACACATAGTGCTATTCGACATTATCTCGGAACTTTCACTTTTCGGATTAATGCTAACATTGAATCACATTTCGATACATTGATAATGTTACATTCGATATCGATAACCTAATCAAAATCCGAGTAGTATTTATCATAACAAATCGGTGATAACCTTAATGATGATTCAAAGTGTAATTCTACTTTAGACGGAGCCCAGTTCCAGTGATAGCTACAGGGAAGGATGACAACGTGTAAACCGCATCTCCCGAACGCACCACTTCGTTGTGACTGGTCAGCAAAACAAGGTAACACTGAGCGTTTCATATTATAAACATGTTTTATTTGATTTGGTAGCATGTTTTATTGGTGTCATAGACAAATATTCTATCCAGATAGCATTTTCTTCGAAGTGGATCATTTCATATGCTCTAAAATGTTGGATTTCTTAGCCCCGATTCGTATTATTAGCGGCCGTCGTGATATATACTAAATGTTGGTAAGATCAAAACCTTTACTCAGCATGAGGGCGGTGGGGTAGCCCAGTGGTTAAAGCGTTCGCTCGTCACGCCGAAGACCCGGGTTCGGTTCTCTGCATGGGTACGATGTGTGAAGCCCATTTTTGTGTCACCCGTCGTGGTATTGCCGAAATATAAAAAGCGGCATAAAACGTTACTCACTCACTCTCTAACTCAGTGTGAGCAGATACTCATCTGACTTGTCATATCGAGGAATCATTAGTGCCTATTTCGGTAATATTCCTGCTATACCACCTCGACCTGTAATAAATCGAGAGTGGACCTGACAAACTAGTGATTTATATGAGGAACGATCCACGACCGACATAGGTTCCTCGAGATTTGATATTTGTTTTATATTATTTCCTAGATCAAAATGACGCCCTATCATGATGTTGTATGGTTGGTGTTAATCCTTTCCCATCTGGCAAGGTCAAGGCCACTCCTTTCAGTCCCTTCTTTCAATCCATGGATCGTCGCAATGTCAAGGTCACCAGAAGTCTTAGGTAACAGTTTTACATCTCAGTGTAAAGGTCTATACGAATAATTTAACCAGAAAGTAACCTTTGTCCCATTTTCGTCAGAATAACCGTCGTGGTAAAGCGGATGGAACGTGGAAGGTCTGTAATCCGATCCCCTGACGTAAAATGGTATTTGTTTTTACCCTTCCTGGTGCTCTGACAGTGATGGCTTCGGAATCAGTATACTGTGTCTGAGTCGGGTACGGGGCGGTGGGGTAGCATAGTGGTTAATGCGCTTGCTCGTCACGCTGAAGACCCGGGTTCGATTCCCCACATGGGTGAAGCCTATTTCCGTGTCCACGCGTGATGTATTGCTAGAATATTGCTAAAAGTGGCGGAAAACTAAACTAACTCGCTCGCTCACTCACTCACTCACCACTCACTGAATAGGGTACGCATGATTAACTGAGGTATCTAAGTGGGCAAACACCAAAACCAGCCACTTCCGAGGATCGATGCTACCGATGTCAATCACTGGATTGAGTGCGGCGTAAAGTGAGTGAGTTTAGTTTTACGCCGCACTCAGCAATATTCCAGCTATATAGCGGCGGTCTGTAAATAATCGAGTCTGGACCAGACAATCCAGTGATCAACAGCATGAGCATCGATCTGCGCCATTGGGAACCGATGTGCGGCGCAAAGGAGCCAGCTGCAGCCCAGCAAACATAACAAGCTGTACACACGTATTCACGTATTCGCTATAAACGTGCATGACAATAACCCTATTACCCCTGATCTCATTTTACTTTGTATGGATAGTGTTGACTGAGAATTCCACAGAATATTTCAATCGAATAATACTCATATTTTCAAATTGTCGTGATCTATGTCATCTTGGAGATAAAGGCTTTATAGATTATCATCTGTATCAGTTTATTGCATGAAGGCCAGAGGCCCATATACAGAATAAATATGTATATGTACAACATATACAACATGCGACACACACGTTACATTGAATCTCTTCTCAATATAAGCGCGTGATAAATAAATAGAGCTACCTTATATTGTAATAGGGATGCTTTACATGAAAGTATTGAATACAGTTTTGTAGCATTAATATTTGATTGTAGCCATTGCGGAAAATACAGTTGCCTTAAATCATTATATGCAGGACAAAGAAATAGAAATTGTAATTCATTCTCTACAGTATTACAAAATGGACAGAACCTTTGTGATTTTATAATAGATGAATATCTTCCTTGATTGATATATAAATCATTTAGGCCAAGTCTCAGGCGCATGAAAACACTACGAAGCTTTTACTACGTAAGTTGTATAGATACGACTCAGGTTCAAGTAAAGATTTAAACTCACGATAGCAATCATATCTTGAACTTTCATATAAAGATGAATGCCAGTCTTGTTTAAAGATATCAATAGCCCTGGTACGAAAGAGTTTGATAAATGCATTAACGTCGCCCAGGGTTTGGGATAGCCAAACAAATCCAAAGCCGTATCTAAACAAAAGAATACGAATACGGGTTGCCCAAGTATTTTTACCAATATTATCAAGATGGACAATCATATTGTAGGTTTTTTTGGGCAGACGATGTTCTGGCATATTTATTACTTTACACCAGTACTTTAAACAGCGAGAGTAAGAAATTATGTACAAAGGAAATCTCCCACATTCACCGTACACCATATTATTAGGGGTAGACATCCCAACATTTAAAAACCTTTTACATGCAAGAAGGTGAACCTTTTCAATGGCATAAAATTACGATACGTAATGTATTCGAATCTATTTGATGTTTAGGATTTTTTGGCACTGTCACTGCGTGGGGCAGTGAGTAGGAGTAGTGGTTAGAGCGTCCGCCCGGAGTGCGGAAGGTCGCGGGTTCGATCCCCGACCGCGTCATACCAAAAGACCTTAAAATATGGTACTTGTTGGTCCCTGCCTGGCGCTCGGTATTAGTGGATACAACAAGGACTGGTCGGCTCGGAGTCAGTATAATGTGTCTGAGTGGGGTATTCATGCTTCACTGCGGCATGTCATCTCAGTGGGCTAGCACTATAAAACCAGCTTAAGTCTGGGCTAGTACAAGCAGCCGCACATACACATACACATACACACGCATGCACGTCGTCATATGAGCGAAATATTCTCAAGCACGACGTTAAACCCAATTTCACCTCACCTCACCTCACCTCACCCTGGATCAGTGCGCATTGTCTGTTTCTGACTGGATGACGTTCAAATAACCTTATAATTTTAGTGGGCCTTTATTGTTTATAAACAATAGAATTGGGAAAATTATATTGGAATTTTCAAGTGGAAACTCATATGGTTGATGCACTGTAATTTTGGTCTGTGATATGCTGCTTCACTTTAAAACAATAGTTAATGTTTTACAGTGTCTTATATTGTAAAGGGGCGGTGGGGTAGCCTAGTGGTTAAAGCGTTGGCTCGTCACGCCGAAGACCCGGGTTCGAATCCCCACATGAAGCCCATTTCTGGTGTCCCCCGCCGTGATGTTTCTGGAATATTGCTAAAAGCGGCGTAAATCCAAACTCAGTCAGTCAGTCTTTGATTGTAAAGGGTGTCAGAGAAGTTCTGACAATCATTTTGGGAGAAGGTATTTGTAAGAAGTTGGCAGCTATGACAAAAGAAAGTTTGTACTTTGGTGGCGTTAATACTGATGTTGATGTTTATGCGGTCGGCACCACATCATTACATTACTTAATATATTTTCGTACCATTATCTCACAGACCCAACTGCTAATGAGAATATTAATGAAAATTCACTGTTGTACGGCTGACACATATTATTTCATCGTAGCATATGTGTTCGATAATAGAACATGTCTTGAACTCTCGATTCTTACTCTAAATACCGATTGGATGTTTTCAAGCCCCACCGCCCAAACCCGATCTCACATAATGCAAATTACCCGTGAAGGTCCCGGGTTAGAATTGGTCTTCAGTAACCCATGCTTGTCGTAAAAGGCGACTATGTTTGTCGTAAGAGGCGACTAACGGGATCGGGTGGCCAGGCTCGCTGACTTGATTGACACATGTCATCGGTTCCCAATTGCGCAGATCGATGCTCATGCTGTTGATCACTGGATTATCTGGCCCAGACTCGATTATTTACAGACCGCCGCCATATAGCTGGAATATTGCTGAGTGCGGCGTAAAACTAAACTCACTCACTCACATACATAACTTAATGTTTCTGATTTTGACAATTTTTTCAAAAGGGTGTTTATGCTGTACAACACCAATCGCCCACTCAACCTCGTCACTCCTTTGTTGATTTGAAGACCCAAACCAGGTCATGATAAAAATACCAACCAACTGACACATTATCTTACTGAAGAATGTGAAGTCTCTGCTAGGTGTGTGTTTCGCACGTGTCCAGTATCTGGAGGGGCGGTGGGGTAGTCTAGTGGTTAAAGCATTGGTTCTTAACGCAGAAGACACGGGTTCGATTCCCCCATGGGTACAATGTGTGAAGCCCATTTCTGGTGTCCCCCGCAGTGATCTTGCTGGAATATTGCTAAAAGCGGCGTAAAACTAAAGTCGCTCACTCACTCACTCAACCCACTCACACACACACACACACACTCATCAATATCTGGACAGTCACTAAATACAACGTGTTCCACTATAATGAGGGGCGATCGAGTTGAAGCGTTATTCTAGCACGACAATGTGTGATACTCGATTCTGATTGGCTGAGAACTCACCAAAGCCGTACTTAAATGACAGTTTAAGGACCGCTAATTAAAGTGACCGATTCTTCGCGTATGAATACAACGAACTCGTTGACCCTATTGTTTCTAAATAAACATGTCGGACATCGGCAATTTCTATCTCGGCAGCATCTTTGGTGTTTTTGAAGTAAAAAGCGAATGGTTTGAAGAAGAATTTTCTTGACCCTAATCCCAGTGAAGAAACAGCGAAGCTAGAAAATCCGTCAGCAGCGCAAAAGCGGCAGTATATTCAAAGCGGGTCCAGATCTACGTGTGTTGTTGTCCAAATGTTTAATTTAGCGGTCTTAAATCAACGATAAAGGACCGTAAAATTGAAAACAGAGTAGCTTTATCTTCTAAGTGAACGCCGAAAACCCGGATTCGATTCCGCTCATGGATACAATATGTGAAGCCCTATCCAGGTGTCCACCACCGTAATGTCACTAGACTATTGCTAGAATTGGCGTAAATATATATTCACCCCTCCCCATCACGTGGATGATGGTGCCCTGAATGTCCGCCTCGGGGTGTGACGCTCGTATTGACGCCACAGGCGCTACTATGGGTGTTGTAATATCAGTGTGAGAAACAGCTGTGGTGTAGATAGTCCTGGTGCTTAGTATCAGACAATTATCAAATTAAGAACCTTTCAGTGCCCCGTGGCCAACTGTCATGACACCCCACCCCCTGGCTGTCACGTGACGTTATTCCATAATAGCATCAGAAGCCAGTGGATCAACGAAGCTGAATCTTCCCGGTCAGAGATTCGAATCGGAAATTCAAAATGGCCGCCAATTCACATTTCAAAACGAGCTTGAAACGTCTTTTGCTTTATTGTTTTGTTTGTACCCACATGGGTACAATGTGTGAAGCCCATTTCTGGTGTCGCCCGCCCTGATATTGCTTGAATATTGCTGAACGCGGCATAAAACTATACTCACTCACTCGCTCAAGGCATCATGACAACATTCGGTACCACTGACGCTCTCCCAAACATGGGGTTCCCCCTGTTTCTCGGGGTCACGGAGTAGTCAGCACGACTACCATGCTCCTCCGTTTAAGCAAGACAATAAACGGACTTTATTCAATTTGGATTTTATTCTTTTACATAAAGATCACAAAACTGTCAAGCCAGACTCACGCTCGTGTTATCACAATATACTGTACCGATTTCCCTGTTCTGTTATCAGTTATGACTTTAATGTGGGCCAAGATAGTGAACACGGATGGTCGTACTGCTGGACAGACGAGCCTTTGCTGACTGTCTATTAGGTCAAATATAACGGTCAACATTTTCGAGCTTTTCAAGGCTTTAAAATCTGAATATAACCTTTCATGGCCGTGTTACGGGGGTGACTTAATTTTCCAACTGTGAGTGAGTTTAGTTTTGCGCCGCTTTTAGCAATGTTCCAGCAATCTCACAGACACCAGAAATGGGCTTCACACATTGAACCCATGTGGGGAATAGAATCTGGATCTTCGGCGTGACGAGCGAACGCTGTAACCACTAGGCTAACCCATCGGCCTAATTTTCCAATAATCAACTTTAAATCAATAATAATATAATATAACAAGATGTCTTAATAATATAATCGACAGCAAATAATCTCCATAAGCCGTTCAATATTTCACCAGCTACAGCTATTGGTGCCCACATTGCAACACTTTTGACCTACTGCCGAGCATGAGGCGGTGGGTTAGCCTAGTGGTTAAAGCGTTCGCTCGTCACTCCGATTACCCGGGTTCGATTCCCCACATGGGTACTAAGTGTGAAGCCCATATCTGGTGCCCACCGCCTCAGTATTGCTGGAATATTGTTAAAGGCGGCGTAAAACTAAACTCAATCACTTAAGCATTACAGGGAGGGCTAGGCAGTAGGGAAAATAATGTGGTTCAGGGACTGTGACACCGACACCACCAGGAGCATTTTACCCCGATATAGCAAAGTAAACCTTTTTCTAATTAATGCTTACGTTTGTCAGCGCCATACCCACCTCATACATCCGAGGCCTGCATAACTTCGGGCTTTTAGGGGGCGATGGGGTAGCCTACTGGTTAAAGCGTTCGCTCGTCACGTCAAAGACCAGGGTTCGATTCCCCACATGGGTAAAATGTGTGAAGCCCATTTCTGGTGCCCCCCGCCGTAATATTGCTAGAATATTGCCGTAAAACTAAACTCATTGACTCGCTACTTCGGACTATTTGCCTAAATTTGATGACACGCCGTGAGTACTGTTGACAATGGCGTTCAACCAAGCTCCACCCACACATAAACTTGGCCATTTCTCTCGCCCCTGCACAAGAATCCTGTGTTGTACAGAGACTATGCAAGGGTTATTCCACAATAGATTAAGTAACCCACAGATTAAAGGTGCGTTAAACTCGCCCACACTTAACATGGGGATATGTGATAAGGGGTTGTAAGCAAATCTACGGCAACAGCACGACTTGACATTATCGTAGTGCATGTCTGTGTACAATTATGTAACAACGTTTATCTTTCACCTCGTGACACATGTGTCACGTGGTGGTTCTTCTAATCATAACTGCATCTGACTATCCAACCACTATATAGGGTGTTGAATCTGTACATCCAATCACTAGTTCACTGAAACTACAAGATGGCCACGACACAGATCTCTATCCTTGTCCTGGCTTTGATTGCAGCGGCGGCGGCGGCGGTTTCAGGTAGACAATAGAATTGTGTAGTACGTTATAGAGGGCTGTTCTGAAGTCCTGGGCCTATCCACAACGCGTTCGTACCACTACGATATTCGTAAGCCCACGATAAACTGTATACCTACGATATGTCGTTACACTACGAATGCTTTGTGGATCGGGCCCCTGACTTTGCCATTGTGGCTACGGTTGGTCTGGTCTTCTAAGGGGCGGTAATTCACTGGGCAGAGTTGCGTCCCTTGGTCATGTAAGTCATTGGTTCAATACTAAATATTCTTTGATTATGGTTTGAGATCCTTGGTTTGGTCCGTACAGTGTACGTGTTCACGAGTTTCAACGGGGATGAATGAAAATACCGGAACCACTTGGGTATTTACTTGACAATGGACTCAAACACCTCGTTATCATAAATACTGGTCAAATTTAATCTAAACTCACGATTTTACTAACAGCCGTAGGGAAATACTTTGTCAACAAAAGCTGTGATCTCTGATGTTGCCTTATATCTCCGTGCGAGAGCGTAAATGTATTCGTAAAATGTACCAGCGGTGACATCCGTCAACACCCAGAGACAAACACACGCAAAGGCAAGTGAAGTGTTCACCTGACCAAACACGGGGACATATGGTACAAGCCAATGTAGGGAATTACATCGGACTAATTAATTTTTGTTATTGATGTTAAGGGCGGTGGGGTAGCCCAGTGGTTAAAGCGTTGGCTCGTCACGCCGAAGACCCGGGTTCGAATCCCCACATGGGTACAATGTGTGAAGCCCATTGCTGGTGTCCCCCGCCGTGATGTTGCTGGAATATTGCTAAAAGCGGCGTAAAACCTAAGTCAGTCAGTCAGTCATTGATGTTACAGTTTTGGAAATATATTCTGCGTGTGTCGTGAAACGTTTTAAAAGCTTCACAAATGCCTTAAATGCTGTTACCATCCTGTAACGCCTTCATGGGAAGTGCCATATGCCAATCTGTAATATCACGCATTTTCGGATCTTTTTAATGCTGGAAATAGATTAAGCAACGCGCTATTAATAGGTTTGTGTGTTTGTCAACATCACCGTCGTCGTCATCATCATCATTATTATTGCTTCAAAGTATTTAAGGACGGGCTCAGATTTATGGAGACCTGGTATCTTTTTGGACGTAGCCTAAAAATTAAAACCAAAAATGCTAAGGAAAGATATGTTTTAACAAATGATGTCTTTATCGTGTTGTTTAATGTTATACCCGCCAGGACCCTGTGCTGTGCGTCACCAACAGTATCTGGATGCGGAGCAGCACCTACTTGGGTCCTCGGAACCACTGTGCGAGATTGACGGTACTTACAAGCCCAAGCAGTGCAGAGGAGCTGGGTAGGTGCACATCTTCCATTGTTCTGGTGTATAGGGTTAGCCTAGTGGTTAAAGCGTTTGCTCGTCACGCCGAAGACCCGGTTCGAATCCCCACATGGGTACAATGTGTGAAGCCCATTTCTGGTGTCCCCTGCCGTGATGTTGCTGGAATATTGCTAAATGCGGCGTAAAACCATACTCACTCCCTCACTCTTCCATTGTTGTTGGCAATGTATCTCATTTTCTTGTGTAAAGTAACTCTGTCTCCTGAGGCACTTCTATGGCCTTTGAGCATATAGCTGGAATATTGCTGAGTGCGGCGTAAAACTAAACTCACTCAATGGGCTTCGGCGTGACGAGCGAACGCTTTAACCACTGGACTACCCCACCGCCCCGACATAAAGCTGACACGCCTAGTGGAATGAAAATGCTTTTACGTAGATCCAGTGCGTGGGTGCATAGGTGTTGTTAATTTTTGCCACTGCACTCAACAATATTGAGATATTAAATGCCAATCAGTGTAGAAGCACTTGACCTTGGGAACGGTGGCTCTGTGGCTCTGTCATCGGAGGCCAAATTCACTTTGCAGAGACCGTAGAGCGGAAGGTCGCGGGTTCGATCCCCGACCGCATCGTACCAAAAGACGTTAAAATATGGTACTTGTTGGTCCCTGCCTGGCGCTCGGCATTAATGGGTACAACAAGGACTGGTCGGCTCGGAGTCAGTATAATGTGTCTGAGTGGGGTATTCATGCTTCACTGCGGCATGGTATCTCAGTTGGCTAACACTACAAAACCAGCTTAAGTCTGGGCTAGTACAAGCAGCCGCACAAACGCATACACACGCATGCACGTCGTCATATGAGCGACATATTCTCAAGCACGACGTTAAACCTTTTCAACTTCATGCAAACCTCACCTCACCTCACCTCCACCCCACCTCACCTCACCTATGGGCACCCTCACCTCACCTCACCTCACCTCACCTCACCTCACCTCACCTCACCTCACCTCACCTCACCTCACCTCACCTCACCTCACCTCACCTCACCTCACCTCACCTCACCTCACCTCACCTCACCTCACCTCACCTCACCTCACCTCACCTCACCTCACCTCACCTGTTTGTTCGACAACTGGTATGTCGTGTCCAGACACGGATGTTTATAGGCCACCGTGATATATCTCGATTTCTGAATACTCAACATTGTATAAAACCTGGTTTCTGCAGCTGCTACTGTGTCGATTCTGACGGTATCGACCTCGGCTACTTCAACAACTACGGCGCTGGCACAGACAACATGGACTGCAGTAAGTACTAAACAACGTATATTCCAATTAGAACCAACGTTGTTCAGGTGTTTATTATTTATTAGCTTCCAAGAAACATCTGTGTTCCGGATTTGATTTTTAACATGTAACCGTTTTAATGTTTAACCATAATGATAATTCCTGCGGCGTAAAATAACTCCCTTCAGATCCAAGAAGACCAACTTCATTGAATCCACCATAGTTTCGTGTCAAAATATATATACTGGACAAAAATAGTTAGGGATATATGTAAATTTGGAAATTATGAATAATGATCTATTTATTCATTGACACACTGATAAAATATAAATCATAAAAATACCAATATCCCTAACTTATTTTGTCCAGTATAATTAATGACAGGCAAGGAATATAACATGCGGACTGAATATAGACATACATATATATTATGTCGTTTTATTCACTACTTTTTAAGCCTGTGCTCGGGACAAAGCCGCCTACTTGAAGACCGGGCTCATTGGCAAGCTCTTCTTCTGCGACAACAAAGGAAGCTACAGCAAGAAACAGTGCACGGGTTCTGTCTGTTTCTGCGCAGACGTCAACGGCAAGATGCCGAGCAACGGCCAAACTGTCAACATCGGTGAAATGGACAAGCTCCAGTGTTAGGGGTGACCCTCATATGTTGTGTTTCTATGCGACATTGACCTCTTTATACGATGAATAAACCAAAATGAATCATTTTCTGGTGTTCTGTTTCACGTAGGTTTCTGAATATGACATTTCCAATGCAGCCAGAACATCACCAGGTCTTATCCATTATTTATAGCATGAACCTCATCTGTTCAATCTGAGATATTATCGTTAACATGATTTTAATTTTAATCGATATTAACATTAACGTAGACGTAACGCCACAAGATGAAAAAAAATATTCGGTGAACTCCCAAAGTCGAAAGATATGTTTATCTCTTGCCTAAAGCAAATACCAACCAAAGGAAGAAGAAGAGACTGGCTGGGGAAGAAAGAAATGGGAGGCATAAAAGACCATGTCCCTTTGACAATAGGACTGGGAAATCAGGCGGGCGTCTGATTTCATAACATGCTGTCGTATCATGGCGGAAGTACTGCTGTACGTTGTCAAGGAACAAACTTAGACTTTTACATGCAAATTGTGTGCATGACGGTACTACCAGTAGGACAGAACATGCCTAATATTACCCTGTTTTCGAAAATCTAGCATCTATTAATTTTCAGCGATCCATTCATGTAATTTTTACTGCTATTTTGCCTCTCGTCCAATGTAATCAGTTACAATGGAGTATCGGGACTGGTTAATATTACCCACGTGGTCAACGTATGGGTAGTTGCATACTGATCTCGTACGTCACACGGGTGTCGTAACGACTTGACCTGAGATTCTAACGATTTGATTGGATAACCGATGACCTCTCAATTAGGTCACGTTGTGACGGAACTACTTTTTCATTCATAACAAACACGTGAATTCATTCATTCTACAACTTATATGCATTGTGGGAATGTAAACATTTCTTTCACTCGGTCAGATACCATAGGAAGGACACTCGTTTCGTATAATTCGTATGTAATGAGACCTCGTGTAGTATTCTCTATTTCTCTGGCGTTGACGTCATCCTAAATGACGTCATAGTATACAAATATACAATACCCTATGCCCATGGGATATACGTTACACCCTCATCTTCAGCAGCCTGTGACTGTTCCATTTTTCGTGCGGTGTCAATACACGCTACAGCCATTGGCTACAGATCGGGGGGAGGGGTCCGAACACACACACACACACACACACACACTGATAAAACACACACACACACACACACACTGATAACACACACACACACACCCTTTGAAAATTCCTGGAACCGCCCTTGGAGCCTACAGCAATATCTTGCGTCCGGGCTCCAACCAATTTGGGGGCTTTGCTAGAAACAACTAGTCCATTATGCTAAAATATGTTGATATTAGACCCCAAATTCGGGATCCTTCAGAGCACGGGTTTTGAACAAGACATACTTGTTTGTCTTTTAATGCTTTAGGGTCAGAAGCAGTGTTGCAAAAGAAACTGTAAATGGTAGCTAAGGGCACTGCAATGGTGGACTAGACTTGCGGTTAAAGCGTTGGCTCATCACGCCAAATAACGTGTTTGATTCCCATATTGGTAGAAGGGATGAAGCTCATTACACACAGGAAAGTTGCCATAGAAACTCGGTTGGTCTTCGTAGGTCATTGTAACAGAATCATGGACAGGACATGTATATTACAGAAAGGGAATCGCATATCTTCGTACCTTTAGGCTCAGGATTTTGGTCACTAAATCACGTGGCTTATCATTGCCCAACAGACGGTTATCTAGTACCATTTCACGCGTCCTGTGTTGAAGCGGTATAACTGGACACGCACATCGTAGAGTTTAAGAATAGCTAACATAAGCAATGAAACTGCTGGTCGTGTTTTGTGCATTCGTGGCTGGAGCTCTGGGGCAGAATGGCCTACCAATAAACACAGGATGTTCCCCTACGACATGTTTGGCAGTGTTCTGCATGTCAGCCCAGAACTGTGACGGACGGGTAGAACCGCATGGCGGCTTCTGCGGCTGTTGCCCAATATGTGTCAAGCAGCTATGTAAGTATAATAAGCTCATTTTGTTCCGTTCCTGACAGTGGCGACGCGGTAGGCCATGACTACCAGAATCTGCTGGACTTGTGAGCGAGTGGGTTTAGTTTTATGCCGCTTTTAGCAATATTTCAGCAATATGATGGACACAAAATCAACCAAGTCACTGAGTCAGTCAGTCAGTGTACATGACTTTACGTCTTTTTAGCAATAATCCAGAATCACAACAAGAAATGCCAGAAATGGGCTTCACACATTGTACCCATATGTACAATCAAACCTGGGCCTTCGGTGTGACGAGCGAACGCTTTAACCACCAGACTACCCCACCGCCCTGATCGTGGACTTGACGTCTTTAAATTACAGCTCCCAAACTGTATATGTTAGCATATTACCGTTTATCCTCACAATTTGGCATGACAATGTTTCTCGAACCTTGGAAGATTCGAATTAATTTTTGGTTTTAATGAAATAGATATTTTCATGTACATGTACATCGAGTGCATAGCCGTTAAGATCCGGGTTAGAATTGGTCTTCAGTTCCCCATGCTTGTCATAAGAGGCGACTTAATGGGATCGGGTGATCTGGCTCGCTGACTTGGTTGACACATGTCATCGTATCCCAGTTGGGAAGATCGATGCTCATGCCGTTAATCACTGGATTGTCTTGTCCAGAGTCGATCATTTTCAGACCTCCGCCATTTAGCTAGAAACATTGCTGAGTGCGGCGTTAAACAACAAACCAACAACCCGAACCTTGACTGTCAGAATATCCCACAAAAACTCGCCTCCTCTAATTTTCTCCTGACAACGTTCCCTCACTTTTCATTTCTTTTCATCTAAAGCTGCCGGCGACGCGTGTGGCCCCGGCCATGTTACCGTGGACATTTACGCTCACGAGTGCGGCAAGGGTCTTCAGTGTGATCCTTCCTCTCATACCTGTGTCAAAAGCACAAGAAGCACTGGTAACTTACACCATTGAATCTGTATTGACAATCATGTATGCATCGTAATCATCTTGAAGTGACTAGGACCTGAGGCAGAATCAAACCTGACACTGCACTGCACTGCACGAAGATCCGGGGTAGAATTGGTATTCAGCAACCCATGCTTGTCATAAAAGGCGCCTAACGCCTAACGGGATCGGGTGGTCAGGCACGCTGACTTGGTTGACACATGTCATCGTATCCAAAATGTGTAGATCGATGCTCATGCTATTGATCACTGGATTGTCTGGTCCAGACTCGATTATTTACAGACCGCCGCCATATAGCTGGAATATTGCTGAGTGTGGCGTTTACCAACCAAACAACCTGCGCCACGCAACACCACGCCACGCCACGCCACGCCACGCCACGCCACGCCATTTCAGACTGAGAATGTACTGTACACGCTATTTGCTCGCTGAATGGCGGTATCTACTAGTATTCATATTGCCCTTTGGAAACCATTTCAGCATTATTTCTATTTTACTATTTTCGTATAAACTTCGATCGCATTCAGACATAATTAATCACTTAACATTTATGGTGTATCAAATCTCCTCAGGGATGTCGTCGATGAAAATAACTCAAATTAAATCAGATTTGAACACGGTGTACGCAGTGTGCGAAATAGTTTCTAAATTTGGCTAGCCAGTCTGGCTAGCTATGCCTGAAAGTTACCAGCCCACAAAATTCACTAGTCCGCAATTTGAACGTAGAAACTAAGCAAATGATTGCAAAAAATAGATGAGAATAAGATATTGTCGGCATGACACGGGTTTCATCATGAAGCTGCTAATATAATGAACATTTTTATCAGCCTATAATCTTACATGATTTATAAGTGTATTATAATTTAACAAGTCGGAGAGAGTGATATATTTACAAAATGAACCCATGAAAATTCACTAGCCAGTCGGGCCAGTGACTGTGGAGATATACTGCCCCGAGTGGATTTTTATTAGCCACGGGCTCGCAGGCCAGTGGTTATTTCGCACACTGGGTGGACGTCTGTTCAGAGAATAGTAGCAAATGTCTTTGAATGCCTGTTAAATATTCTCCATTCTTAACATCGCCTGTTAAATATTATCCACCATATCCACAAAGCGTTCGTAGCGTTACGTCATTCGTAAGCCAATGGTGTTGTGTCGTAACGTTACGAACGCTTTGTGGATCGGGACCCTGGGACATTAATGACATTTCAGACTAAACACGACAACTGTGTTACGCAATTTCGTAATGATGCTTCAACATACTAATATTTTTGTTACCTTAAAAACTACGACGGTAGCAAAGACGATATACCAAGTTACTCGTGCTTTGAGATAAGCAAAGTGGTGACACTGCGTCCTAATCACAGGCCCTCGTTTCCTTGAGAGGATTAAAGATTTATTTTTTTAAATATATAAAAAATTGAGATGACCCCCGACTTCACAGTCATGATGTTTTGTACTTTGAGGCATGATGTGTCTGAGGTCATCTCAAAAAACAATATTTTCTCATCCTTAATCCTCTCAAAGACACGAGGGCCTGTGATATAAGCGGACTGTTATAATTTCTATCAGGCTGATGTACCAACAACTCAAATTTGCGCGTATATGGTCTCTGTCTTGTCAGTCCGAGAGACGCGATATCTCTTCTGTCAGTTTCCACACATGCTCAAAAACATGTTCTCTAAAAGGCGTTGAAAAAATGTTATTTTTCACAGATAGGGGGCTCATAATATTTCTTGTAATTGTTGTACCCACCAGGACCCTGTGCTCTGCGTCACCAGCAGTATCTGGACAAGGAACAAACCCTTCTGGGATCCTCTGAACCACTGTGCGAGACTGACGGTACTTACAAGCCCAAGCAGTGCAAAGGAGCTGGGTAGGTGCCCCGCGACACATCCTCGATGTGCCAGGGTATTTTGAGGAGGTTTTTTATAGTGAGTGAGTGAGTATGGTTTTACGCCGCTTTTAGCAATATTCCAGCAATATCACGGCCGGGGACACCAGAAACGGGCTTCACACATTGTACCCATGTGGTGAATCGCACCCGGTTCTTCAGCGTGACGAGCGGACGCTTTAACCACTTGGCTACCCCACCGCCAAAATTTTCTTATACATATGAGTTCTGTTGCATATTTCTGGTGAGCCTTTAAGACGTCGAGCTTCCGTGAAGTTCCGGGTTAAAATTGGTCTTCAGCAATCGATGCTTGTCGTAAGAGGCGACTGGCTCGCTGACTTGGTTGACACATAGTTGGGCTGGGACGGGTCCAAATTTTTTACCCGGGTTCCCTAACCGAATACCCGTTATGCTAATTCCTGACATCAAATTTGCAAGAAAAAAGCAACATATTCTTCTGCTCGGAGGCTAAAATTTCGAGTTTTCAATATCTTAACCATGTTTTATATTCCAGAGAAGTGACTGTAACTTATGTCTTTAGAAATCTTCAAAGACGATACAACCTTTTAAATTTTTAATCATGAAAGAATAACATATTACATTGTTTAATGTATTAGTCGGTACCCGGGTCCAACTCATTACCCACCCGTCCCGGGTATCCGGGTTACCCGTCCCAGCCCTAACACATAGGTCATATTGTTCATCAATGGATTGCCTGGAGCTGACTCAAACATTCAAAGGCCCTGATATAGCTTCACTGACAGAGGCGCAAAACAACATTTTTTACATACCTGGTTTCTGCAGATGCTACTGTGTCGATTCTGACGGTAACGACCTCGGCTACTTCACCAACTACGGCGCTGGCACAGACAACATGGACTGCAGTAAGTACTGAACAACGTGTTCTCGAGTTAAAAAAACAACACTGTTTCGCTCACACACAGATAAATGGCCTTTGATTGGGTGACAAGTTAGGGACCGATCATGATTTATGACTGGGGGGAGCATTCACTTGTACATGTACTGCCTTACAAGGGTCCCTTTTCATCATTCACAAATCTCCCATGGCCAGCCGTATTGCATTGTGACACAGATGCACACTCATGGTTCTCTCTGCTAGATCCAAATAATTCTGATATCAATTTTTAACTAAAGTTGGGTATGGATAACAATCACTTTCTAAATTCGTCCTTTTTCGTGACTATTCCTGTTTACAAACCACTGAAGCATGCGCATAGGCCTAGACATTGGCAGAATGTAGGGAACCCTTCATCATTTATGGCTAGGGAGGTGATGATGATTTTCTGGAGAAAAACGTACTCTCTCCAGACACCATCCTAGCCATAGATTATGAACGGTCCCTAAACAAACAATACAAGATGGCTTAGCTTGTCTCCATCAGAAACACATCGATGCTGACAATGATCTGTCTGACCGTGCAATGGAATTCTTAATGCATGCATGCAAGGAAGTGTCACTGTTTTTCTACTGTTTTCGTCTATAATAATAATGAGTATTTATAAAGCGCTGAATCCATCCACAAGGTGCATGATCAAAGCGCATAAAATGAGAGAAAAGACACAGGTATAGTGGAATAATATATAGTATGAAATAAAAACTTATGAATGATAGCCTGAAATAAAGCCTATGAATAATAGCAGGAGAAAATGTCTATGAATTAAAGTTCATGAACGATAGGGTGAATGATAGGTTTATTCTATGTAGGCGTTGTCCGTCGTACTCGTCCACATTATGGCCACTTTTTTTCAGCCTGTGCTCGGGACAAAGCCGCCTACTTGAAGACCGGACTTATTGGCAAGCTCTTCTTCTGCGACAACAAAGGCAGCTACAGCAAGAAACAGTGCACGGGTTCTGTCTGTTTCTGCGCCGATGTCAACGGCAAGATGCTGAGCAACGGCCAAACTGTCAACATCGGTGAAATGGACAAGCTCCAGTGTTAGGGGTGACCCTCATATGTTGTGTTTCTATGCGACATTGACCTCTTTATGCGATGAATAAATCGCATTGAATGATAACTGTTTGTTTTTTATGAGTTCTGTGTTTCGAGACATTCACGTAGCCGTGGTGAGGCGGTGGGGTAGAAATGGGCTTCACATATTGTACCCATGTTGGGAATCGAATCCGGGTCTTCAGCGTGACGAACGCTTTAACCGCTTTAATATTTTTATGCAAAACTGAGGGCAGTGGGGTAGCCTAGTGGTTAAAGCGTTCGCACGTCACGCCGAAGGCCTGGGTTCGATTCCCAACATGGGTACAATGTGTGAAGCCCATTTCTGGTGCCCCCCGCCGTGATGTTGCTGGAATATTGAAAATACTCAAAACTAGCAAACATGTTGCAGCATGTTTTATCAAATAATACTTCTAATAACAAATGTCTTTCATGTATCAAAGACATAATGATAAAGGCGGGAACTAATGATGCACTTGTCAATAGAGATTGGATTAAATGTAAAGTCAAGAATAGCCTTATAGATCTTTTCATACAAAAATGGCATTCAGGTATTGAAGCAAAGTATAGATTTTATAAGATTGTAAAAACAACAAAATATTGATTTTTGTTTACATCACCTACCTGAAAAATATATATTCAATTTGTTACATTTTAAACTGTCAAATCATATCGTCTTCCTGTTGAAACTGGAAGATGGTTCAATATTGATTATAATTATAGAAAATGTACATTATGCACCTTAAATGTAATAGGAGATGAGTACGACTACCTTTTTAACTGTCAATACTTTAACGAAATAAGAAAAAGGTTTATTCCTAAAAAGTTCATTACAAAGCCATCAATATTTAATATCATTATTTTATTCCAGGCAAAAAATGTATCCACTTCAATAACACTGTCCATATTCTGCCGCCATGTGCTCTGTAAATTCAGATAAAAACTCCATTATTGTATTATTCATGTATATGATATCAATGCATGTACTTAACCATGTATACTCCCGTATGCAATTATTATATATCTCTTTTAAAACCTCATCATGCTACATTGTAGCCTTGAGTGAATAAAGTAATCTATAATCTCTAATCTCCCGGCCTGTAACCCCCACCCGTCCCAGCCCCAGAAGACACGGTGTCGCAACTTACGAGCGTCCCATATTTTGAACCCTTCAACGTTTCTCATGTATATGTCATAGTGATGGATACCATCAACTGAATTATCAACGTTCGTTGTAAAGAAAACACTGGAAAATGAAGGAAAACGATCATATCAATAACATATTGAAATACCACAAATCCAGTGATTCGAACGTACCTTACCAGATTATTGACCGGATAAAGGTATCAGTCAGCTCTTATCTTGATTACCTCCCTTGAGATTCAGATCACGTGTCCCACATTTTGACCGAGTGGTGTGATTCAGCGGTATTAGAAGTACCGGTCACTGTAGGCCACGTCGCCGCTGACGCAAGTTTACATCAGGTTATAAAGTCTGTCCGAGGTTTCTACAGGTGTATGGTGTTGCCTGTTTCAATCTACTTACCCTGAGATCGTCTGATAATCACTCCCGGAACATCGCTTCGGTGTCGTCTGCTAACACAGAGAATCATGACGGATCAAGGTTCAGGGTCCACCGCGCCCGATATGAACAGTGACGCCAAACCCAGGTATTTTTATCATAGACAGTACCCGTTTTTACCCGTTAAATGAGTAGAATGTCATATTTAAGTTCTTATATTGGGAACTCACAGATCAGTCATGCATGCAGTAATATGTTAGGACCCGTGAAGATCCGGGTTAGAATCTTCAGTAGCCCATACGTGTCGTAAGAGGCGACTCACGGGATTGGGTGGTCAGGCTCGCTGACTTGGTTGACACATGTCATCGTACGAACGACGCTGATGTTTTGATCACTGGATTGTCTGTTCCAGACACTATTAAAAAGTATTATTTACAGACCGCCGCCATGATATAGATGGAATATTGCTGAGTGCGGCGTTAAACAACAAACCAAACGAAATCAGTTACATGATAGACTCCAATTGTAAGCACTGCAGATCAGCAATTTGTGCAGAACGCGATCTATATTAGGAAAGTCTGGCAATTTTGTAATCTTTCAAACCAAGACAAAATAGATTTAATACACGAATGGTACAACAAACGCTAGCATCACCATATAAGTAACTTTTACTGTGAATGTTAATAAAATTGCACCCATGTATTTTTGTATCATTTGAAAGGCTGACAAATGTTGTCTTCAAACAAACGACGAGAAACCGACCTGTTTTCCGTAGTTTGATGGAAGTGTACCATGAAATGTATTTATCATATATTCAAGCGAGAATAATGGGGAAACGTATCGTTTTCAATGTAAATTCACATGTATTTTTGTATTTCACGAAACACCGAGAATGTATGAATAATGTTTGTAGTTTTTTAGTGCCTTTGAATAGCACTGGACCATCAGGGTTATCGCAAGTAGACAATAGTGACAAAACAAATAACAGTTCGTTGTAACAAATGTTACCATAATGGCATTTTGTTCCTTATTTGGAATTCGGGTCCCAATGTTATGATAGTTTTCATTCGTCATATAATTTGATAATACCGATCCCGAATATTTCCTCACAAATATTTCCTATGTCCTCGGGGAAGGTTCTATATTGTGCAAATTTCAGATCCAGGATTGAGGAAAGAGATTTTTTAACTTATGAAGGGTCACCTGTGGCTGAGGGTTGCCTCCCTTAGCTACAAGGATCTGCCGGTGGTGGTTCGAATCCATGATCAGCATCTGTTTTGATCGTTTACTAGTCAGCGCCTGAGAGTTGAAGGTGCAGCGTTCAACAAGAAACACAATGGTGCAATTCCAGTATCAGATGTCAGGGTTCCAACCCCAGATTCAAACAATTGATCCTTATTTTAATATCTCAGAAGCAATGGCTTGTGGGTTTTACTAAAGTTGTAACGACTGACTGAGTTTGGTTTTACGCCGCTTTTAGCAATATTCCAGCAACATCACGGCGGGGGGGACACCAGAAATGGGCTTCACACATTGTACCCATGTGGGGATTCGAACCGGGTCTTCGGCGTGACGAGCCAACGATTTAACCATTAGGCTACCCCACCGCCACCTAAAGTTGTAACGACTCAGATCTGTAGAACTGATATATATATGAACTAATGAACACATTCACTCACCCACACACGGTGACACCTTAACAAGTACTAACCTGTGCACAATGTAAATACACAGTGCCGTATTTCCAGGCCCTTCCGGTCCAAGTACCAGAATCTGATTGACATGGGATATAGTTTAACAGTCAACGAGGACGAATCTCTTGCTGTGGTGGAGGCCCCTGGACCTTCGTTTGAGTCATTTGATGTCTATGGTAAGATTAAAGGATGTTTGGTTTGTTTGACAATTAGTGGTGGTCCGATTAATTGAAATAATCGAAGATTGGTCGTAGTGACTAAACGACCAAGCAATCGATCACAATTTCTCATAATCGAACACAACCAATTCTTGAACACTGGTTTTCATTAACAATATCTTTCACATGGTTGGTTTTGTCTGTTACATTTCGTAAGCACTACAAGCTCGTTTCAAGTCACGATTGAATTTATCTTAAAGATTCCAAGAAATTTATGTTCCTAACATACTAGTCATCCTTTAAAGATGTGAAATTTTGCCAAAAAACCCCAAAAGAACTACTTGTTTTTTACCTTATTTTGTGTGTATTAACAAATTTCATAAATGATGCTAACCAATTATTTTCGATGATTGATCGGTAGTAATGAACCAATCATCAATTATGAGATTTTAACCAATTCCCAACACTATTGACAATTCAGAACACCTTGTATAACTGCAAACAGTCGGAATGTAGTGGAAGGTGTAGAGGAAATGGTACTGCTTGTTTAGAGAATATTTCTATCATGTTCTTAAATCTTTGGCAAAATATGTTTTTCTAGTATGTTTATACAAGTAATTCACAAAATACTTGATACTGATTATTATTTGCGAATGTAATAAATGTGCATGCCTGATAGTATCTTAATATGTCTTTTCGGATAAAATTAAATGTGTTTCCCCTTTCCGGTCATAGTGTAGAGATTATGTTTATAAATTATATGAAATATTATAGGTGTCCCCTCTTCCAAATATTACTAGTAGCTGCGTACTCGGTCGAGTTTATAGTGGCAGGTCGCTAAGGTACCAGACCGCAGTTCAAAGTGATTACTCATGTTTAACGCCGCATTCAGCAATATTCCTATTATGAAAGAGTGAGGGAGTGAGTTTAGTTTTACGCCGCACTCAGCAATAGTCCACTTATATAGCGGCGGTCTGTTAATAATCGAGTCTGGACCAGACAATCCAGTGATCAATAGCATGAGCATCGATCTGCGCAATTGGGAACCGATGACATGTGTCAACCAGGCCAGCGAGCCTGACCACCCGATCCCGTTAGTCGCCTCTTACGACAAGCATGGTTTACTGAAGATTCATTCTTACCTGGCCCTTTACGGATCTTCCTGTTATGAGACCGCGTTCTGTAAATAATCATGATCATAAGCATCGATCTGCTCAACTGGGATATAATAACATACATCAAATAAGTCAGCGACAGTTTCTCAGATTCTAAGCTGCATCTTCACGGTCCCTTAAGGCTTAATGGCGAGCGCAACCAGGGTAACAAGTACCATATTTAAGTCTTTTCGTATGACGCGATCGCTGGGGATCGAACTACAGACTTTCCGCTCAGTGGGTACCACCACATAGGCACAGAGCGGGTTGTCCAATGTGGGAATATTGGGATAGAATAAATTTATTTTATCATGTGTCGTCGAACCTAGACGGTATCAATCGTTATTCATCCTTCAAGATACAGTCAAACACCGTCTGGTGGACGTTGAAGGGACCCATGTAATACTTTGAATTATCCAAGATTCGGCACAACCGCAAAATGTGGACTTAATTAGGAATACGCCGGAACCAAGCTTTTACTTCGAAGCAACCTCACGTTCGACTCATCAAAGTTAAACGGTGTTTAACTGTTCTTACCTCCTCCCTGACTTAAGGTGTTGGGGTAGCCTAGTGGCTGAAGCGTTCACTCGTAACGAAGGTCCGGGTTCGATTCCCCATATGGGTACAATGTTTGAAGCCCATTTGTGATGTCCCCTGACGTGATGTTGCTGGAATATTGCTAAAAGCGGCGTAAAACCATACTCACTCACTCCTCCCTAACTTGATTACTTGCAGGCCGCTGTGATATTACAGAAATGTTGCAGCTCGGTAAATAATTTTCATTCACTGACTTATTCACTAAGGAAGTGTAATTGACAATGCAAGTATTCTATTTCGTCTTTCAGGGAACTGTAAGATCTGGAGCATCATGAGACTCATGGGTGCCTGTAGGTATTTTGCCTATCATTATCCCCTCGATAAGACAGGACACTCATTCATGGACTACGGCCAAATGACAGATGGTATGTTTACATTCATGGCGTCCTCCCAGTTTGAAATTGAAAAGTCCATGTATGACCGTCATGTGTCAAAGTGGCCGGTGAAGGTCAAAGTACAGCTCGGATACATCGGGAAGTCTTCCACCAACTCAGTCAGCAGTTTAATTGTGCCATCAACAGGCGAGACATTGGTAAGAAATGTCAACCAGATCGTTGCCATTGACAAAGAAACGCGGAAACCGACGCCATTCCCGTCATGGTGGAAGGAGAAACACGGCGAGAAGGCTGTCAGGAAGGAACCACTGATTGTCCAGAAGCTTTCCAAACCTGACAACGCCCACACCTACACCTTGCGTGTGTCGTGGAGCGAAACAGACATGTACAATCACGTCAACTGGGCGTCTTATGTGGTGTTCTCCATCGATGCCCTCCACCACGGGATCAAAGAGGGAGTGTTGAGAGGCATGAACAAGGAGGTGGTCAAGAATGGAATACAGAGGATGCAGATGGCTTACTTTGGTGAATGTGTGGAAGGGGATCAGTTGACTGTTTACTTCTGGGAGGTGGAGGACCAGCCTAGGACTGTGTATTTTGCCATAGAAAGAGATGGAACATCCGTCTTTCAAAACACATTAACATACCACCAGTAGGAACAATATTTGTTAATTTATCACCGTCTTTAGAAGTAGATGCTTCTCGTCATGATGATCACCGGTTACCCAGAACATACATATCTGTCTCCAGAGTAATTTTGCCATAGAAAGAGATGGAACATCCGTCTTTCAAAACACATTAACATACCACCAGTAGGAACAATATTTGTTAATTTATCACCGTCTTTAGAAGTAGATGCTTCTCGTCATGATGATCACCGGTTACCCAGAACATACTTTTCTGTCTTAAGAGTAATATGCATTTGATGAATGAAAGATATTTTACTGTAGTATTATGAGATTCGCCCTACATGTGTCTTAATTTGTCAGCTTCTTACCAGTGCTGGTGGATTCACCAAAGCTTTACCGCTTTGTCTAAAACCAACATCACTTCCTTGTTTCGTTCGATGTTAAACTGTGACGCTGTAGTAGAACTTGACTACTGTTCGAAGCGGCGCTAAAAGGTACAGATGCTAAATCTCTGGCTTATATACCAAATTGAATGAACATGAACTCAAAATTACTCCTTCAACTTCGCAAAAAGCATTTGCCTCTCTCTTGTCAACATTCGTATGACCTGACTTATCCTGTAATTTTTGACAGGGCACGTCAACAGCCGTTTTGAAAGGCAGTCGTTTAATCGTATGCTATTTATTTTGTTATGTACCTAGGACCCTACCAAGAAGAAGGGTCCCTTGTTAAGAATGTAAATATGTAGTCATATTACAGCTTACTGTATAAAACACCGACATTGTAAAGTGTTTACTTCGTTGAATTCCGGAATTGTTACGAGTATATCTGCTTGAACTTCATATTTTCAGTTGTCAAGCTCTCAAGCTTCATTTTGCTCGTTCCATTGCTAAAAGGGCAACGAAAATATGCCGCATGTCACAAGGAACGTTTGCAATGTATACCAATACATTTGGTTTTTATTTTGTATGTGTAAGATTTTGCTTATTTCAAGGGGATATCAGGCACAGTGACTGATTGGGTATGATCTCAAACGGCACAGGGCGTTATCAATCACAGGGCTGCGTGGTACAGATTCGAATTTTGACACGCTACCGTGATTATTTGCTTCCAAAAACCACAAGATTGGGTTAGGACTGGCTAATAAAAGAGTGGAAAGGAAAGGACAGGACGCCGTGATCTAAACCAAGTAATTATTTGCGTATCTGCTTCCAAAAAGCACAGTACTAGGTCACTGTGTACACAGCTGGCTGATAAGAGTGAACAGGAGTCGTGTTGCACTATTGCGCTGAATGACGTGTCACTGATTTGGTCTCGTCTATATATTTTTGTATATGTCACTGATTAAATAAACATACTGCAACGTTATCTTTGTTTTTGTTTGTTTGGGGCTTTTTTGTATAATTCTATTTATATTGTTGATTCATATGTAAGATGTGACTTCATATTATGGTTGCGTTGATGGAACTATAAACGTAAAAGGCAATGTGCACACTTTGGATACGAGGGTTCATGCTGTGTATACTTTGGGTCTTTTACGTTTATAGTGAGTGAGTATGGTTTTACGCCACTTTTAGCAATATTCAAGCAATATCCGTGAGGGGAACACCAGAAATGAGCTTTACACATGTACCCATGTGGGAAATCGGACTCGGATCCTCTGTGTGAGGATTGAACGCTTTAACCGCTGGAGCTACCTCCATAGTATAACAAATCAGAAACGTGTATGATAATCAAGGTGAGATGAGGGATAGTGTAAGACGACAATACACCATTTTTTTATGTAAAATTGAGGAATTTAAAATAGGATTTGTAATTTCAAATTGATATTTAAGCAGTGTTTGTTTTGAAGATGTTAGAGATTTTTTTAATAGAAACACATGCAGAACATATCAGTGATTCGGTGAGCATCGTTTTACGCTGCGTTTTGCAACATTCCAGCAACATGACGGCGGGGGCACTAGAACTGGACTTAACACAATGTAGCCATGTAGGGAATCGATGAGCGAACGCTTTAACTACTAGGCTACCCCCACCGTCTTAAAGTTCTTAGTTCCTAAGAAAGGTGAGGTGAGGTGAAATTGGGTTTAACGTCATGCTTGAGAATATTTCGCTCATATGACGACGTGCATGCGTGTGCATGTGCGGCTGCTTGTACTAGCCCAGACTTAAGCTGGTTTTATGGTGCTAGCCCACTGAGATACCATGCCGCAGTGAAGCATGAATACCCCTCTCAGACACATTGTACTGACTCCGAGCCGACCAGTCCTTGTTGTACCCATTAATGCCGAGCGCCAGGCAGGGACCAACAAGTACCATATTTTAACGTCTTTTTGGTGTGACGCGGGCGTTGATCGAACCAGCGACCTTCCGCTCTCCGGGCGGACGCTCTAACCACTACACCATGGAGGCTGTCCTCCTAAGAAAGACACAATTGGCGCCATGAATTTGTACAACACTTACACATAAGGCTGGGTGGTCGCCGTCGAGGATGAAATCATTGTATCGCCAAATGGTGACCATTCCACAAGCCATTGCATTCTACTGTAACAGTTCACTGCATCAATAGCATTCAGTCGGTGTTCGCCTAATATTTTATTAAATGAAAACGCCTATTATGCTCCGATACGTTTCATATTGGGGATTGCAATATCCTGAAAGTTAATTGGTAAACATTTATTTTGAACAATGACAGTGGTAGCACCTGTTTGGGACGTTAATGTGTCCCGTTCTCAAGCCGCCAACTGGGCCATCAACACAATCCAGCAGATACCGCGGTTCCCCGGAATATTATTCCATCTTTGGCATGGTATGTTTTTCTGGCAAAATAATACGATCTTGGAATTACCTTCAACCTATATATTCAACCCTTTGATTGGTACGGTAAGGACAGTTGGTTGACAATGCCTTGGCGGTCCCAACGGAAACCTTCTAGTTGTAGTTTAACAATGGGGTAAGTAGGCTCCACGGTGTGATGTCCGTTTTCACTTTAGATGGTGTAGCTGATGAAACTAAGACATTGTTACCATGTATTGTGTAATTGTTTAATGTCACACTGATTACCTTCACAATAACAGAGTTGTCATCAATGGTTTTTGGGGGAGTTGTATCAAAAAGGACTTGCAAAGCCCCCATTTAAACATTGGTCGTTATCGGTGTGAAGTACATGTGACGAAGTGATCAGTTGACGACCGGCATGGAAGAAGGAAACAGCGCGGAAGAAAGGAATAATGCGGAAGCCAGGTAAAAGCAAAAAGGGCTCTCGGACAATTGTCTGTTTACTTTGGGAGAGTTTATAGAGTGATGTCAGGCAGTGTTCGAAATATATCTTACTCTACAGTAACAAATTATTAGCATTGTTAATCTATAGGATGTTTGGCACTTACCTCACCTCATCTACACACACGATTTTCATCACATTCCACGCACAACACTGTAAAGGATATTTTAGGTGTCAGAGGCCCAGATAAGCCGCGTATCCGGGTAAAATACGCATGGAAAATTTCCAATTACGCATTGAAAAATAATTGTTGCGTACCAATTACGCATTTAAAATGTTACATACGCAAAAAGTTTAAAACAAATGCGTACGGAATATATTTATAAAAATCGCTTGCGTAATGAAAAAGACATCGATTGCTATCAAGTTGTACTGATAGTATAGGACTAGTGTTGTACTGTCAGTATAGGATGAGTGATTTTTTTATGAAATCATTTCCATTATATTTATGTTGGTTTTGATTAGATATGACATAAGGCAGAACATACCTGCTTAGTAAACTTACTCAATGACATAATACTTAGGTGAGTAAAATGACTGAAATACGCACATATTTGAAAGCTGTGGGTAACGGAAAATGAAATACCCACTCAATATTCATAATACCCACTCCAAAAAAATACAGTGGGTTCAGTACCCACATGAGTTAAATCTTATCTGGAGCTCTGCGGTGTTTTAACAGCACGCTCATGTTCTCGAAGTTTGTGACTTGTAAGTCACAATCGAAACACTTTCACTGGGAATTTCTGAGGGTGGGGCTGGTTTTACCTTTTTTAATTTCAATATCCCCTGATTTCAAGCAAAAGGATACGAAAACGGAAGCCTATTGTTGTTTCGACGGATATGGAAGAAGGAAACAGCGTGGAAGAAACGAACAATGTGGAAACCAGGTAAAAGCAAAAATGGCTCTCGGAGAATTGTCTGTTTACTTTGGGAGAGTTTATAGAGTGATGGTAGGCAGTGTTCGAAATATAACTTACTCTACAGTAACAAATTATTACTATTATCAATAAATAGGATGTTTGGCACTCACCTCACTCGAATATCGAACACATTCCAGCACCGTTCCTTCTCCTTGTTCGTGGGTGTCAGCCACAAAGATAAACTTCTAAGACCTTCACCACTTCCGGCTTCCCTCCTTTCGCGTCGTGATTTAACTGCAATATTGTTTAAAGCGGTGTTAATCCAATCTGCCTCACTACCTCATTAAATCCAGAACTATAGACCCAATTACTGATCTAGGTTTATTGCCACGTGTGTCTGAACTGAGAATTTATCTGTGTGTAAAAATTTAAGGAAACCTTCCTCCCAAATTAACTACCCCTGTACCAATGATCAAGGTACATGTACACATCAGAGTGTCAGACAAGACGCCTATGCATTTGATTTCATTCCCTGATACCATTACATTTCATTATACCTCGAATAAACGTTTTGTTTTACGCACAATTTCGGTTACTGATGGTGTAACTTTAAGTGAATGGGCGACCTTTTTGTTTTGTTCTAAAGGCGATAGCTCTCCTTTGGAAATGTTGTAAGCGACGGTCCTTGATTTTTGTACACACACACGATTTTCATCACATTCCACGCACAACACTGTAAATGATATTTGAGGTGTTTTAACAGCACGCTCATGTACTCGAAGTTTGTGACTTGTAAGTACAATCGAAACACTTTCAAAATATTCACTGGGAATTTCTGAGGGTGGGGCTTGTTTTACCTTTTTTAATTTCAATATCCCCTGATTTCAAGCAAACGGATACGAAAACGGAAGCCTATTGTTGTCTCGACCGACATGGAAGAAGGGAACAGCGTGGAAGAAAGGAACCATGTGGAAGCCAGGTAAAAGCAAAATGGTTCTTGAGAATTGTCTGTTTACTTTGGGAGAGTTTATAGAGTGATGGTAGGCAGTGTTCGAATATAACTTACTCTACAGTAACAAATTATTACTATTATCAATAAATAGGATGTTTGGCACTCACCTCACTCGAATATCGAACACATTCCAGCACCGTTCCTTCTCCTTGTTCGTGGGTGTCAGCCACAAAGATAAACTTCTAAGACCTTCACCACTTCCGGCTTCCCTCCTTTCGCGTCGTGATTTAACTGCAATATTGTTTAAAGCGGTGTTAATCCAATCTGCCTCACTACCTCATTAAATCCAGAACTATAGACCCAATTACTGATCTAGGTTTATTGCCACGTGTGTCTGAACTGAGAATTTATCTGTGTGTAAAAATTTAAGGAAACCTTCCTCCCAAATTAACTACCCCTGTACCAATGATCAAGGTACACATCAGAGTGTCAGACAAGACGCCTATGCATTTGATTTCATTCCCTGATACCATTACATTTCATTATACCTCGAATAAACGTTTTGTTTTACGCACAATTTCGGTTACTGATGGTGTAACTTTAAGTGAATGGGCGACCTTTTTGTTTTGTTCTAAAGGCGATAGCTCTCCTTTGGAAATGTTGTAAGCGACGGTCCTTGATTTTTGTACACACACACGATTTTCATCACATTCCACGCACAACACTGTAAATGATATTTGAGGTGTTTTAACAGCACGCTCATGTACTCGAAGTTTGTGACTTGTAAGTACAATCGAAACACTTTCAAAATATTCACTGGGAATTTCTGAGGGTGGGGCTTGTTTTACCTTTTTTAATTTCAATATCCCCTGATTTCAAGCAAACGGATACGAAAACGGAAGCCTATTGTTGTCTCGACCGACATGGAAGAAGGGAAAAGCGTGGACGAAAGGAACCACGTTGAAGCCAGGTAAAAGCAAAAATGGTTCTTTGAGAATTGTCTGTTTACTTTGGGAGAGTTTATAGAGTGATGGCAGACAGTGTTCAGAACATAACTTACTCTACAGTAACAAATTATTACCATTGTTGTTGTTATTTTACACATTTTTAAATTTTAATATCCCTGATTTCAAGCAAAAGGATATGAAAAGGAGAGCCGATTGCTTTTTCGTTTGGAGCATATTGTTTCCAGCGAAATTTGTCGTTGCTTTGATTGTTGTTTTCAAGTGGCCTCAAATACATTGTCAATATTTCAAATTTCCTGTTTGATTAACAAACTCATTTATGCTTCAAACGTAGAAGAAACATGGGCTTCCGTAAAAGGAGGCTGGTCACCATAGTGCGCGTGATGTAATATTTCTACATTCTTTTCAAATGCAGGCTCTTTGCCCCTTTCCGTCACCTTGAGAAAATAGGATACAGGTTAAGACTCTTGGAGAACGAGTCACTTGCTGTTGTACACGTCCCCGGTCTTTCTGACGACGCCTTTGATGTCGACGGTAATACAAGAATTGTATGGTGGTGCGATTTATCATCATCATCATCATCATCATCATCATCATCATATGTGAATGTTTCTGATTGCGAAAAAATCCACACTCTAACTGATGTTGAAAGTTATATTATAACCCCAGTGAATGGATCGATGTTGTCAATTTTCTATTTTCTTCACCTAGAGGAGTATACAACCCAGGTTACCTGTAGTTGAACTAATAACGCTGTTATTGGTCCATATATACTCAATACGTTCACTGACATACTATCTATGCGGATATTTGAAAAGTATCTGAAAATGTATGGGGAATAGGCAGGGAGGAGTATGAGTGAGTGAGTTTAGTTTACGCCGCACTCAGCAATATTCCAGCTATATGACGGCGGTCTGTTAATAATCGAGTCTGGACCAGGCAATCCAGTGATCAACAGCATGAGCATCGATCTGCACAATTGGGAACCGATGAAATGTGTCAACCAAGTCAGCGAGCATGACCACCTGATCCCATTAGTCGCCTCTTACGACAAGCATAGTCGCCTTTGTGGCAAGCATGGGTTGCTGAAGACCTATCTTCACGGGTGGAAGAGTACGAAAAAATATACATGGTGTTCAGGTGCAACTGGCTTTGTCATGAAATCAAGGAGAGAGAGTTGAAAGGAATCGGACGGAAGTGAAAACCAGCTCTGATACATGAAAATGAAGCGGTCATATACCATCATGTACCTCAGCTGGGATTCGAACATGGGCGATCTTATCTTACTCCTAATCACACGACCTTACGATAGTTGTGCCAAGTATTTGAACAGAAAGACATCTATGTATATCTAGTAAACAATGTTTCAGATATTCTCCTTAAACACAACTAAAGTACCCACTTCCACCCAGTTATACCCAGAAACTGAAAGTCACGGGAATAAGTGTATGTTTATCCCTAGTTCGATACAAACGGATTGGTGATATAAGTACTGATGATATCCCGAGGACCAAAGTGGGGAAGTTATTGAGTTCGAGTTTCGAGTTTGGTTTATACGACATTATTCTTTCCACTTCAGGGAACTGCCACGTGTGGAGCATTGTAAAGATAATAGGTGCAGCTGTTCATTTCTACGACATTATTCTTTCCACTTCAGGGAACTGTCACGTGTGGAGCATTGTAAAGATAATAGGTGCAGCTGTACATTTCTACGACATTATTCTTTCCACTTCAGGGAATTGCCACGTGTAGAATATTGTAAAGATAATAGATGCAGCTGTACATTTCTACGACATTATTCTTTCCACTTCAGGGAACTGCCACGTGCGGAGTATTGTTAAGATGATAGATGCAGCTGTACATTTCTACGACATTATTCTTTCCACTTCAAGGAACTGCCACGTGTGGAGTATTGTGAAGATGATAGATGCAGCTGTACATTTCTACGACATTATTCTTTCCACTTCAGGGAACTGCCACGTGTGGAGTATTGTAAAGATGATAGATGCAGCTGTACATTTCTACGACATTATTCTTTCCACTTCAGGGAACTGCCACGTGTGGAGTATTGTAAAGATGATAGGTGCAGCTGTACATTTCTACGACATTATTCTTTCCACTTCAGGGAACTGCCACGTGTGGAGTATTGTAAAGATGATAGGTGCAGCTGTACATTTCTACGACATTATTCTTTCCACTTCAGGGAACTGCCACGTGTGGAGCATTGTAAAGATAATAGGTGCAGCTGTACATTTCTACGACATTATTCTTTCCACTTCAGGGAATTGCCACGTGTAGAATATTGTAAAGATAATAGATGCAGCTGTACATTTCTACGACATTATTCTTTCCACTTCAGGGAACTGCCACGTGTAGAATATTGTAAAGATAATAGATGCAGCTGTACATTTCTACGACATTATTCTTTCCACTTCAAGGAACTGCCACGTGTGGAGTATTGTGAAGATGATAGATGCAGCTGTACATTTCTACAACATTATTCTTTCCACTTCAGGGAATTGCCACGTGTGGAGTATTGTAAAGATAATAGGTGCAGCTGTACATTTCTACGACATTATTCTTTCCACTTCAGGGAACTGCCACGTGTGGAGTATTGTAAAGATGATAGGTGCAGCTGTACATTTCTACGACATTATTCTTTCCACTTCAGGGAACTGCCACGTGTGGAGTATTGTAAAGATGATAGGTGCAGCTGTACATTTCTACGACATTATTCTTTCCACTTCAGGGAACTGCTACGTGTGGAGTATTGTAAAGATGATAGGTGCAGCTGTACATTTCTACGACATTATTCTTTCCACTTCAGGGAACTGCCACGTGTGGAGTATTGTAAAGATGATAGGTGCAGCTGTACATTTCTACGACATTATTCTTTCCACTTCAGGGAACTGCCACGTGTGGAGTATTGTAAAGATGATAGGTGCAGCTGTACATTTCTACGACATTATTCTTTCCACTTCAGGAACTGCCACGTGTGTGGAGTATTGTAAAGATGATAGGTGCAGCTGTACATTTCTACGACATTATTCTTTCCACTTCAGGGAACTGCCACGTGTGGAGTATTGTAAAGATGATAGGTGCAGCTGTACATTTCTACGACATTATTCTTTCCACTTCAGGGAACTGCTACGTGTGGAGTATTGTAAAGATGATAGGTGCAGCTGTACATTTCTACGACATTATTCTTTCCACTTCAGGGAACTGCCACGTGTGGAGTATTGTAAAGATGATAGGTGCAGCTGTACATTTCTACGACATTATTCTTTCCACTTCAGGGAACTGCCACGTGTGGAGTATTGTAAAGATGATAGGGAGGGCTGTCGATTTTGCACACTGTTATCCTCTGGACAGTTCAGAACGCTTCTTCCTGGACTATGGGATACTTTTCGATCGATTGTTCACCTTCATGGCTTCTTCGTCCTTTGAGTTTAACAAGTGTTTGTATGAACCTCTTGTGTCAAAATGGCCGCTCAAGGTCAATGTGCAGCTCGGATACATCGGGAAGTCTTCCACCAATTTTGTCAATAATGTTGTTGAACCATCATCGGGGGAGATACTGGTGAGAAATATCAACCAGCTTGTTGCCATTGACAAGGAAACGCGGAAACCGACGCCATTCCCGTCATGGTGGAAGGAGAAACACGGGGAGAAGGCTGTCAGGAAGGAACCACTGATTGTCCAGAAGCTTTCCAAACCTGACAACGCCCACACCTACACCTTACGTGCGTCGTGGAGCGAAACAGACCTGTACAATCACGTCAACTGGACGTCTTATGTGGTGTACTCCATCGATGCCCTCCGCCACGGGATCAAGGAGGGAGTGTTGAGAGGCATGAACAAGGAGGTGGTCAAGAATGGAATACAGAGGATGCAGATGGCTTACTTTGGTGAATGTGTAGAAGGGGACCAGTTGACTGTTTACTTCTGGGAGGTGAAGGACCAGCCTAGGACTGTGTATTTTGACATAGAAAGAGATGGGACATCCGTCTTTCAAAACACATTAACATACCACCAGTAGGAACAATATTTGTTAATTTATCACCGTCTTTAGAAGTAGATGCTTCTCGTCATGATGATCACCGGTTTCCCAGAACATACTTATCTGTCTTAAGAGTAACATGCTTTTGATGAATGAAATTCAACTCCGAATTGTATTTTACTGTTGTATTACTGAAATTCGCCCTACATGTGTCTAAATTTGTCAGCTTCTTTACAGTGCTGGTGGGTTCACCAAAGCTTTACCGCTTTGTCTAAAACCAGCATCACCTTGTTTCGTTCGATATTAAACTGACAAGCCGTAATGGAACTTGATTACTGTTCGAAACGACGTTAAGAGGTAAAGATGCTAAATCACTGGCTTATATACCAAATTGAATGAACTTGAACTTAAAATTACTCCTTCAACTTCGCAAAAAAGCAGTTGCCTCTCTCTTGTCAACATTCGTATGACCTGACTTATCCTGTAATTTTTGACAAGAGCACCTCCACAGCCGTTTTGAAAGGCGCTCGTTTAATCGCATGCTATTTATTTTGTTATGTACCTATACAAAAAAATGTCCCTTGCTAAGAATGTAAATATGTAGTCATATTACAGCTTATGGTATAAATCACCAACATTGTAAAGCGGAATTGTTACGAGTATATCTGCTTTAACTTCATTTTCAGTGGTCAAGCTCAGTCACGTGGCTTCATTGCTCTTTAACCGTTCCATTGCTAAAAGGACAACGGAAATATGCCATATGTCACCGTGAACCTTAAATTTGGCAATGCATACCAATACATTTTGTTTAGAGTTTGCACCTATATGAGGCTTAGTTATTTCATGGAATTATCAGGCACAGTGAGTGCCTGGTACAGCTTTATTTTCACAAGCTGTCGTGATTATTTGCTTCGCAAAACCACAAGATTGGGTCAGGACTGGCTAATGAAAGTGTGGACACAACTTGTGTTGCTCTATTGTGCGGAATGACTTGTCATAAATTTTGTCTATATTTATGTATGTGACACTGATTAAAACACAGCCTGCAAAGTAATCATTGTTTTTATCAACAACATACGGGGTATATAGTATTCTGCGTGTCTGTTCGTCCGTCCATTTCTAGAATTGTATTTTTCCCGTTTCCATGGCTACAAGTTTGACTTTGACTTTATTCTAAGTTGTGTCCTTGTCCTGACCATATCTCTAAACTAATTACTATTCATTCACGAAACTGTGTACACACAGGGAACACGTTGTGAACAGGTGCCTTCGACATTTAGGAATCTAAAAATTTAAATTTTTCCCGTTTCCATGGCAACAGGTTTTGACTGTTAATAGTTGTGTCCTTGTCCCGACCATATCTTTGAATAAATATTCATTCACAAAACTTTGCACACACATTGATCAGATTGTCAACAGGTGACTTTTGCTACTTACTGATTTTTAGAACTTTTATTTTTTCTGTTACAGGATCATCGTTATATTATATCATACGCTACCTACCACTTATGACATCCACTTGACCATTTAACACAATAAAACATGACATACAAATGTAAGTTCCATACCGGCCCTGTTCCTTTTTTGCCAATAACACGATAACCTGGATACATAATTATACCTTCATGACGTTTTACATATGACTCTTGTAGGACTTGATGATTATCTCTATCGAATTTGTTGGAGATGGGGGATTTGTCATCTCTTGGTGACTCTAGCATATCATGACATGAACTCACTACACATTTATGTTTGCGTTCATGGAGCTATAAAAGTAAAAGGAGGTGTTCACGTTTAGGGTACTCGTACTTATACTGTGCTCACTGGGGGGGTGGGGGAGAGGTTGGGTATTTACGTTTAAAGTGAGTTAGTATGGTTTTACGCTGCTTTTCGCAATTTTCCACCAATATCGAATAGGGGTCTTTTCCTGTTTCTTTCTTTTGCTTAAAATGCGTTTTAAATAGAATTATTCTTGTTATTTCAAATTGATATCTAAGAGATTATTAGATAGGAATCACATACAGCACATTCAAATGTATACTCTCCCAAAAAAGAAACGCATCATGAAAATAGCAATTTCATGTAGCAATGAATTAAAACGTGATTCATTTTACGAAAGGTTTTGCTCTGTTTATGAGTCCTATGGTGTTTATGTTTTGAAACATCACAACAAAACGCACCATCCGTAACATACCCGTATTTAACAGCATGATTTTCAATTTCGGCGTGTAGTGTCACAGAATACACATTTCACATGTAATGCGCGTGAAAGTTGGGGATCAGATAGTCTCAATGATGGGTATAAAAGGTTGATCGCTATCTGTCGATTATTCACTGTATTTGGAATATTGTTTACGAACGCAAAATACCACGTCTATGTGAAGCCAGCCGTCATATCGCCATTGGTTTGCTTGAAGCTGGCCAGTCTCAACGTGCAGTTGCCCGACGCATGAATGTTCACCAAAGCACCATTTCACGGCTCTGGGAGAGATATTGCCGGCAGAATGCGGGTACATCACCCGCGTCATCGAACAGCTACGGCGACCAGTACCGCTCGACAAATACCCGGATTGAGGAGGTTTTCAGCACAGACCGTCAGGAACAGGTTGAGAGAGGCTGGTTTACGTGCCAGAAGACCTTATTTTGGCCCTGTGCTTCGACAACAACATCGTCGACATCGAATTCAATGGTGCACCAAAGTTCAGGCCCTGAACCTACCGAATTGGCGTAGAATCTGGTTCGGTGATTAATCACGATTTCTATTGGAACGGCGTGATGGAAGAATGCGGGTGTACAGACGTCGACGTGAACGTTTTGCCGACGCTTGCGTTCCCCAGGTGGATAGATTCGGCCGGGGCGGTGTTATGATGTGGGGGGAGCGATCACCTGCCGTAGTAGAAGTGATTTGGTGATGATCCTGGGCAACCTGACAGCTCAACGGTACTGTGACGAAATCCTACGCCCACACCTCCTTCCAATCATTGACAATGCCAGGCTCCACACATCACGTCCTACTAGAGACTTCCTCCAGAACCACAACATCAGTGTGCTCCCCTGGCCCTCAAGATCACCGGACTTAAACCCGATCGAACATCTGTGGGATGCCCTGGACAGACGGGTGCGACGCCTTAACCCTCAGCCCCAGACACTTCAGCAACTCGCACAGGCACTACAGGCAGAGTGTGCTGCAATTGAGCAACACGAGATTCTGAGACATATTCGTTCGATGCCGAGGCGATGCCGTGCAGTTCTGGATGCCCACGGTGGTCACACGAGGTATTGACTTCAACGCCACCACACGTCTCCATGTGACACTCAAACTGACTTTCCTCGAGTTGGTGCCAAAGACGGATAAGTCTGCATTCCCAGTGTGCAATTTCGCTATATTTCATTGACTCATAAAGCCTACAAGATGTTTCAAAATAAACATAAAAATACAGTTGAAATTCCTACATGCGTTTCTTTTTTGGGAGAGTATATATTAATGAATGAGTGAGTATGTTTTTACTGAACACCACGGCAGGTGCAATAGAATGGACAATCACAAAATGGATTTTTACAACACTCACACATACAGTTGGATGGTGGTCGTCGAGGATGAAAGCATTGTATCGCCAAATGGAGAGCCTTTCATACACAAGCCAGTGCCTTCTCACATAACACAGTTGACTTCATAATGTATGACATTCACGCAGTGGTCATCTAATATACTATGAAATGAAAACGTCGCCCATTATGCCTCGATACGTTGCATACTGACGATTGCAATATCCTGATAGTTAATTGGTAACGTTTTAATTGAACAATGACAGTTGTAACACCTGTTGGGGGCATTAATGTTTCCCGTTCTCCAGCCGCTTACTGGGCAAGCTACAAACCAGCAGATTCCGCCGTTCCCCGGAATATTATTCCATCTTTGAAATCGGTATGGTAGGTTTCTCTGGCAAAATAATGCCATCTTAGAATTACCTTCAGTAGAAATATGTTCAACCCATTGAGTGGTACGGTAAGGACAGTTGGTTGACAATGCCGTGGCGGTTCTTAGGAAAACCTTATAGTTGTAGGTTAACAATTGGGTAAGTAGGCACCTCGGTGTGTTGTTCGTTTTCAGTTTAGATGGTGTAGCTAATGAAACTGAGACATTGTCACTATGTATTTGGTAAACGTTTAATGTCCCCCTGATTACCTTCATAATAACAGAGTTGTCATCAATGGTGTTTGGTGGATTTGTGTCAGGAAGGAGGAAAGCCCCCATTTAAACATTGGTCTTTATAGGTGTGAAGTACGGGTGACGAAGTGATCAGCTGACGACCGCCATGGAAGAAAGGAACAGCGTGGAAGCCAGGTAAGAGCAAAAATGGCTCCCGGAGAATTTATTTTGTACTTTGGTAGACTTTATAGAGTGATGACAGGCAATGTTCGAAATATAACTTACTCTAATTATTACAAATTATTACAATTTGTTTTCAATCAATAGGATGTTTGGCACTCGCCTCATCTCACCTCACCCCACCCCCACCTCACCTAAGCTTAACTCAGTCTGGCTGTGGTCTGTCGCCTTTGGACAACATGTTTGCAGATTGTAATCTAATCATTAGGGGCCAACTATTTGATATTTGACTTTAGGACGTCATGAAAAAGGTCTCTGACTCCTTTCACAGAAATAATTGCGTGTAATAAAATAGAATATTGAACACATTCCAGCACCGTTCCTTCTCCGTCTTCACCACTTCAGGCTTCCCTCTTTTCAAGTCGTGATTTAACTGCAATATTGCTGAAAGCGGCGTTAATCCAATATGCCTCACTCCCTCATTAAATCCAGAACTATACAGGGTCTGTGCTTACCGGTGTCGACCCAATTACTACTCTGGGTCTATTGCCACGTGAAATAGAACGGAGAATTTATGTGTGTGTATAATTTTAGAAAACCGTCCTCCCAAATTACCTGACTGACTGAGTATGGTTTTACGCCGTTTTAGCAATATTCCAGCAATATCACGGCGGGGACACCAGAAATGGGCTTCACAAATTGTACCCATGTGGGGAATCGAACCGGGGTCTTCGGCGTGACGAGCAAACGTTTTAACCACTAGGCTACCCGACCGCCCCCCAAATTAACTACCCCTGTACCCATAATCAAGGTAAACATCAGAGTGTCAGACAAGATGCCCATGCATCTGATTTCATTCTCTGAAACCATTGCATTTCATTATGACCTCGAATAAACGTTTTGTTTTAGGCACAAATTTGGGTCACCGATGGTGTAACTTTAAGTGAATTGTTAACCATTTTGTAATATAAACTGGCGTGCAAAAGAAAATACATACACGATTTTCATCACATTCCACGCACAAAACTGTAAAAGATATTTGAGGTGTTTTAGCAGCACGTACATGTACTCGATGTTTGTGACTTGTAATTCACAATCGAAACATTTTTCAAAATATTCACTTGGAATTTCTTGGGCTGGGGTTTGTTTATCATTTCTAAATTTTAATGACCCCTGATTTCAAGCAGAAGGATACGAAAACGGAAGCCTATTGTTGTCTCGACCGGCATGGAAGAAGGAAACAGCGTAGAAGAAAGGAACTATGTGGATGCCAGGTAAAAGCAAAAATGGCTCTCGGAGAACTGTCTGTTTACTTTGGGAGAGTTTATAGAGTGATGGCAGGTAGTGTTCGAAACATAACTTACTCTACAGTAACAAATTATTAATATTATTAATCAATAGGATGTTTAGCACATGTAAATTATTTAATTATGTATTGATGTTTGCTAAAGTTATAGTGTATCGCTGCAAAGTCACTGGAAGTGATTGTAATTTTGACACTTTCATAAAAGATCTAAAATTACATTAAAATATGGAAACATATCGGAAAAAATATATGTGAAAAAGTAAAATCTGTATGTGCATAGTCTTTAACACTTATGACAACTGTATTACTAATTATGACCTATCATATTTAACCCCAACACCCTGGTATGTCCATCCACGTGACACTGTACAGGGGATTAAAATCGTGGAATTTTATTTGCTAATAAATGATGCTGAAAAAAGAAGAAAAGGATATTTGGCACTCACCTCACCTCACTCACCTGACTTAGACACACGATTTTCATCACATTCCACGCACAACACTGTAAAGGTTATTTTAGGTGTTTTAGAAGCAAGCACATGTACTCGATGTTTGTGACTTGTAAGTCACAATCGAAACATTTTTCAAAATATTCACTTGGAATTTCTGGGGATGGGGCTTGTTTTACATTTGTAACTTTCAATGTCCCCTGATTTCAAGCAAAAGGATACGAAAACGGAAGCCTATTGTTGTCTCGACCGACATGGAAGAAGGGAAAAGCGTGGAAGAAAGGAACAATGTTGCATGCCAGGTAAAAGCAAAAATGGCGCTCGGAGAATTGTCTGTTTACTTTGGGAGAGTTTATAGAGTGATGGCAGGCAGTGTTTCGAAACATAACTTATTATACAGTAATAGTAGTGGCCTCAAATGTATTGTCATTATTCCAAATTTCTTGCTTGAAATTTCGAGTTTTGAAAGACATGAATTATCGTATTTCAAGGAAGTAGTCGAAACCATGACAAAATCATCGAAATTTTAAGTTTTTAAAACATCCTCGAAATTTCGAAGCAACGAAACTTTCGATTAAAAGCGTCATTTATGCTTCAAACGTAGAAGAAACATGGGCTTCCGTGAGAGGATGTTGGTCATCATAGTGCACGTGATGTAATATTTCTCCACTCTTTTCAGATGCAGGCTCTTTGCTCCATTCCGTCACCTTGAGAAAATGGGATACAGGTTAAGACTCTTGGAGAACGAGTCACTTGCTGTTGTACACGTCCCCGGTCTTTCTGACGACGCCTTTGATGTCGACGGTAATACATAAATTGTATGGTGGTGCGATTTATCACCACCACCATCATCAACATCATCATCATCATATGTGAATGTTTCTGATTGCGCCAAATCCACACCCTAATTGATGTTGAAAGTTTCCCCAGTGAATGAATGGATCGATATTGTCAGTTTTCTATTTTCTTCACCTTGGGGAGTATACGACTAATATCGTTGTTATTGGTCCATATATACTCAATAATTTCATTGACATACCATCTATGCGGATATTTGAAAGGAAAATGTGTGGGTAATAGGCAGGGAGAGTTGTATGACGACATGATTCTTTCCACTTCAGGGAACTGCCACGTGTGGAGTATAGCGAAGATAATAAGTGCAGCTGTTCATTTTGCACACAATTATCCCTTGGACAGTTCGGAACGCTTCTTCCTGGACTTTGGTATACTTAGCGATGGATTGCTCACCTTCATGGCTTCTTCGTCCTTCGAATTTGACAAGTCTTTGTATGACCCTCTTGTGTCAAAATGGCCGCTCAAGATCAATGTACAGCTCGGATACATCGGGAAGTCTTCGACCAATTTTGTCAGTAATATTGTTGAACCATCATCTGGGAAAATACTGGTGAGAAATACCATCCAACTGGTTGCCATTGACAAAGAAACGCGGAAACCGACGCCATTCCCACCATGGTGGAAGGAGAAACACGGCGAGAAGGCTGTCAGGAAGGAACCACTGATTGTCCAGAAGCTCTCCAAACCTGACAACGCCCACACGTACACCTTGCGTGTGTCGTGGAGCGAAACAGACATGTACAAGCATGTCAACTGGGCGTCGTATGTGGTGTACTCCATCAATGCTCTCCACCACGGGATCAAGGAGGGAGTGTTGAGAGGCGTGAGCAAGGAGGTGGTCAGGAATGGAGTGCAAAAGATGCAGATGGCTTACTTTGGTGAATGCGTGGAAGGGGACCAGCTGACTGTTTACTTCTGGGAGGTGGAGGACCAGCCTAGGACTGTGTATTTTGACATAGAAAAGGATGGAACGTCTGTCTTTCAAAACACATTAACATATCATCAGTAGGAATGATTGCTGAATTATACAGACACATTATTCAACTGGTATTCATTATGTCAGTGCAAGAACATGGCGGAACAAAATGGCCGACAGCACATGGCCACCTTGCTGGAAAAAGGACAAGGGTTAATATATAACATGAAAACAAAGCAATCATGTGTCGATGTGTATGTGTGTTATGTATTGTAAATTAGAATAACTAGAAAGAGATAACTCTGCGCAACTTCCGCCGTCAACCTCTAGGGGAGATCACTCTCCTGAGGGAGGTAACACTGCTCACGGTGGTTGCATACTTCAACTTACAAAAGTAACGGAGTCAAACCTCAGGGTTCAGAGTCACCTGCTGAGCGAGTACCGTATGTAAACATCTGAAGAGATAGAGACATGTGACAGCTGTGATTGGATGAAAATAGTGTAACATTTTTATGTTTTTTAAATGCACATCCATCCAGTAATTAAAACTGATCACAATTTTAAGTATTTAGTGCTGTCATTTTTATCACCATGACGTATGTTTACTGTGTATACAGATATTTTCCAGTAGGTAACATTTGGTGGGGAACTGGGGCTGATGGGTTCAGCTTCCTGTGCTCTGGAAAGTAGCAACATAAGATAGCCGGAATTTGTGTTTTATTGTAGTTAAAAGGCCAAACTGTACCCATGTGTACATGGAATGGCTGTTGACAGCCTGGATGATTTTTGGAAAAATATAACGTTACTATAGAAGTCTATGGGAAAACATCTGGTGTTGTGTAGCCTCAGGCATGGCGACCGATGATTTAACCACTTGGCCCTACCGCCCTCCCTATAATAGATGAAGGACGAGACCTGTACATGCTATTTAATAAAACGTATATTATTGATCGGTTGATTTCAGGTAATTGAAATGTGTTCAGGTTTTCTCGTTATTGACATGTGTGTCGTCATTAATGTTACTAATTGTGTATCTAAATGGCTTCCCTGATATATTATGGGGAGGGGGTAGGTGGGAGAGGGGGATTGGACTCATCTAAAATGATCGTCTGTGATGAAAAACGCTAAAACAGACCGTATAAACACGCATGTAATGAAAACTTTTCTTTGTCATTGCATTGATTTAGATAAAAGAGTTTGTGAAGCCAGGTAAATTAGTGTGTAAAGTCGCTTTTGTGGTCATTGAAATAAAAACGTTCATGAGAATGGTGGGAAGCTATGGCGGTTTTAAAGTGCTATCCTACCGCACCTTAACATAGACGCCGGATTCATACACACTCAGAGCTTATCGGTCCTTGTTGTATCCACCAATGAGACCAGCGACATACCAGCTGACATGCACCATCTTAAACGTATGACTTGACCCTGGGATCGAACCCAAGCCTTCTACTCTCCAGGCTGACGCTCTATTAAACTCGACCACGGATACTGTAAGAAGCTAAGTCTTACACTACAACATCGAACATGTCTGGTACTAAAGCCTGAAACGGGGTTCCTTAATTGTTAGATTAGTTCAAGCCACCCCTCGATAGCACAGCAATACCACTGTAATCTCCAGCTTGTAGCTCTCACTCGTGTCGCTGCGTTTGACTGTTCCGACAGTACTTAGAAGCAAACATCCACTGGGATTCTAGTTTAGAATAGGTCTGCCATCGAATCCCTAGTGTCGATTGCTGTCATAACATCAATTACTGGATAGTTTAATCCAGAGTTTAACATTTACATGCCACCGATGGAACATACCCGTGAAGATCTGGGTTAGAACTGATCTTCAGCAACCCATGCTTGTCGTAAGAGGCGACTAACGAGATCGGGTGGTCAGGCTCGCTGACATTGTTTACTCATGTCATCGGTACCCAATTACGTAGAACGATACTCATGATGTTGATCACTGGATTGTCAGGTCCAGATTCGATTATTTACAGACCGCCACCATAAAGTTGGAAGATTGCTGAGTGCGGCGTAAAACTAAACTCACTCACTCACTCACAGATGGAACACGTGCCGTTAAACATACAAAACAAAACACAAAGCTCGAGTCAAGTATCTTCTGTAATAACCTAAATATAAAACGTGGAGAGATTCCAAAACGCTTTACCTTTGTGGTATCCATGGATTTGGTGTGTCTGGATTTGCGGAGCTGGCAATGACAATGTTTGTTACTTTAATTTGTAAACTCATATTCTTCAACTCAATGGCTCATCATTGTCGACCCGATGTTTTTTAATTCACAGTGTACATTTATCACACCTGGGCCCAGTTGTACAAAGCGACCTTAATGCTACAACTACCATGTCTATGTTAGAATTACGATCGTCATAGCGCTGCTAAGATCGCGTTGTGCAAGTGGGCGCTGGTCCTTTGAGATTTTACATTTTGAGATGAAAACACCACTGAAACTGTCAGTCGTGATAAACAAACGTGCTCTGGAATATAGACTGGCCCAATTTCTGAATATCGAAATGTACAGTTTTGTCATCCTGGTCCGATGCCCACACCCAAATAGTCAGCTCATCGTTCTCTAAACTCTCCCCGATGTAAGTGTTCCTCATGGACTTGATGCCACGTTTGACCACCCCCTTGGTAACAGCTCCCATGCAACCTTTCTCTATGGCATAATGCAATGCGTTGACGCAGTAGTACGCATAGTATGCGTAGTTGGTGTGATTATGATTGTCAGTGTGCACCCATGCGACCTTGACATTGTACAGCACAGCGCCACCTGGCCGCTCTAATTTTGGAACTATCATTGGATTTTTCAAGATGGCGGATCCGCCATGTTTCTCCCTCCACCAATCCGGAAGAGGTTTAGGTCGTCTGCTTGTTTTATCCATTCCAACGAGATGATTGATGTTTTTGAGGATGGTCTGACCGGTTGATGGAACAATAATGGAACCAACGGAACTGAAGGATGACTTGCCAACATACCCGAGTTGATACAAAACATCTAAGGGGTTCTTAGGTACGGATATGTCATAAAGTTCCCTTTCTGTAACGAACTCGGATGAAGCTGCGAACGCCAGTCTGTCCGACGTGAGCTCAGCGTAGTCAAATAGTGTCCTTCCAGACACATCCAGGGGACAGTGGGAAGCAAATATTCTAGCTATGGTTACAAATCGCATCAAGCTCGGCATTGTGGGATTACCTGAAATGGAGAATTCTTGTCGATATGTGATACTCGTTGAAACAATGATCAAAAGAAACATTTATACGACCTGAAACAGAAGAGTAAGACTAATTCGGTAACCATACAGTTTGAGTTTAACGCCGGTAACAGGTTCTGACAGTATTACCGTTATTTCTCTTGTCAGCATACGAAAGTCGTAGCTAAGATCATGCACTTTGTGCTAGTACACCAAGGTCTTAGCAATTTTGGTGAAATCAATCAGGGCGAAAAGTGTGTGATTCTTTATTCCTGCCTCATGCACTTACGCACGCAAGAACGCACGCCCACTATTATTTCTATTTTTGATATAGACTTAATTACTGGATACGTCAGTTCGTTAAAAAATTAAAATTATCATTAAAACTAGCATGCGACACAAACACTGTATTTACCGTCTCTGTCCAAGGATTCAAGTGAAAAGCCAGGAGTATGTACGATAGACTGCGTCTCTGTCGTGTCCACCGTCTGACTGTATCCCATGTTCTTCAGGCTGGCCATGAAGCGTCTGTAATGAGTGAGTGAGTTGTGTTTTACGCCGCAGTTGGTTAAACACGGTTGTGTTGCACTTAATGTTGTCTAGAAACAAAATGCTTAGTACCTTCACATTCTTTCTTAATGCATTATGTTCGGGTGTGTCGAACATCGGATAATAGAGGTACTTACGTAGTTCCCTTTACTGACTGAGTGAGTTGGTTTTACGCCGCTTTTAGCAATATTCCAGCAATATCACGGCGGGGACACCAGAAATGGGCTTCACTCATTGTACCCATGTGGGGATTCGAACCCGGGTCTTCGGCGTGACGAGCCAACGCTTAAACCACTAGACTACCCCACCGCCCCTAGTTCGCTTTAAATAACTTCGACACAACTGAGCAAAGGCCTGGCAAACAGGTCGGTGATGGCATGAACCGTGACTCATGATGGGGTAGGATAACGTACTACAGACAAGGGCATAATTATAAGAATCACATGCATCAACCAATAGGTAAGTGATCATGACTGTTTACAAGAATTCCCGTAATGGTTGATGAACGTTATACAACAGACGACTGTTATATTGAGTGCGTTTGGTCTAACGGCGCTTTGAATGTTCCCGGTATATAACATCTTCTGGGGTGAGTTTAGTTTCACGCCGCTTTTAGCAATATTCTAGCAATACCACGGCGGACGGACACCAGAAATGGGCTTCACACATTATACCCATGTTGGGAATCGTACCCGGGTCTTCGGCGTGACGAGCGAACGCCTTAACCACTGGGCTACCCCATCGCCCATTTCATATTTGAGAAGGATCACTGCATATTATATAATCAAATATGGATACATGAAAATACCGTGACTAGAATTAGTACAGAAAATCACATTAAAGAAATCATTCATGTATAATATTTGTATCTTTGAACTGAAAAAGCATTACAAAAAATCTGTCAACCCTACGATTTGTCCCACCCGACACTAAGGAATAACATTTTATGGAGCTTCAATGTGTGACCCAGTAATAAGGGGGAGTAACTCTAATCTCAACTGATTTCAACCTTTGACCAGAAGCAAAACGACACCGAATTACCTCAGTTGTTCACTGTTAACAAACCACCAAACCCGTATTCTTTTGTTGAACACACAACTAACCGGGAAAGAAGTCCTGAAATGGCATCATCACTTTGTTCTGGTGACCCGTCAGTACTGAACTGTCTCAGATACGAGCAAGACAGAACACCACGTCTGAAAAGCGTTGGCAGTCCAAGATGCTGGCAGAGTCCGGTTGCGGTGTAAATGGTGAACATTACAACAACTTCTTCTGTTGAAGAGCACAGTTGTTGAATCAGTCAACTATCGTCGATTGTTAGCGCAGCTACTTCCCTGTATTCTAGACAGACGAGACAAGGAAATGAACGTGACGTTTGACTGGTTTTCTCTCTCGGTGCACGGTCGTGTGTCGGCGAAGCACCCGTCCCGTCATGTTGTATATGTGTCTTTCATTATTTATGATAATAGAGTCATTTCTGTGTTAGATGATCGCATTTTATATTTGATAACTAATTTCATTATTTATATCAAGAATTACAAACATGTTGGCCTATAGACTAACGCTTAATCTCTGAATATATAATTTTGACAGTAACAAATACTAGTAATCCTTTGGAAAGGAGACCAGATGAGATGGAGATTCAGAACCTGAGTCATTTCGGGCTTTAGCATTGCAGGGAGGGCTGGGCAGGAGGAAGAATAATGTGGTTCAGGTATTTTGAGACAGACTACTATGCCTGAACCGTAGGAAATCTAGATTTGCTTCATTTAGAGTTTTAACACTGCAGGGAGGGCTATTCAGTTGGGAATATAGTGTGGTCCAGGGACTGTGAGATAGAGTAGTTGGCCTACACAAATAGGTACTACTCCCTTAAGTTTGTTATCTGAAATTACTCATCATCATCATCATCATCATCATCATCATCTTTATTTCCTCCATTAGGAGATTATTGTGAAGATATTTACAAATTTGGACAGTAGATGGACATTTACATGTTTTGCATAGCTACAAGAAGATGCTATATATTTACATGTCAATTATATATAATTAAAATTAAATTCTGAATTATTCTATATCGCCAAAGGTAAATTATCTGATTTTTACAAACCTGTTATGACCATAGTAGCATATTTCATTATGATAGGCCATATTTTACAAGATTATTTATTTATGGTATTGTTTTTATTCAAAATTCTTCCTGCTCTGTTAATATGTCGGGATATCATGACTTCTATTTTATCATGCCAGTCACTACGATGGTGGTACTGTAACTTTCATAGGTAAGTGATGAAGAAAATATGTTGATTTCGTGCCAAGATTTCGAATTTATTGATAATTCTGACATATCTCTACACAGTGTGTATATTTAAGGTCTAGATATTTGTTCAGTAATCCATTAAACGATGTTTATATATACGATGGAAGCTTTGTAGAGCAATAAGATACGTTCTAACCTCTGCAAAATGTGTGTTGTGTTTTTTCTCCAGACAGACATTTTGTTTTGCATTGTTGCATTGCACGCGATATATTTCGGGCACTGCCCTAAATTGTGCATGATTTTCAATTTTCGAATCAGGTCCAAAGCTTTTGTTTTGTGTGTTTGTGTTTAACGGTGCACTCTGCTATATTCCAGCTATATGACGGCGGTCTGTAAATAAATCGAGTTTTGACCAGACAATCCAGTGATCATGAGCATATACAAAGTGAAGTGTGGTTACCGGAAATGCAGTGCGACAGGACACCCTATAATTTCAATAGTCGAACGCTAAATCCGCTCATCGCGACTTGAGAAGGGAGTTAACTCTTACAGCTTTACACTTCACTTCATGGGCACAATTCATATTTTTGTGTTTCAAGTAAACCATTTGTAGTACTGGCGGTGTGGAAACACTGAGAGTTAGACTGAAATATGGACGTTCGTGAAGGATAGTGATTTTCCTCATTTCATCTGTAGCCTCGAAACAAAGGTTCATATTAACTCAAAACTGTTTGAATATTTTATGACCGCTTTTGAATTTGTTTTCTTCAACGCCATGTATTGTCACAGAAACTGGTAAAACATACAACACGGTTGAAATGTGTATTTGCCAGCACATTTGAGATTATCATCACAATCAAAATTTAATATATATGCTTATAATAGTTCAAGTTCTTCAATATAGTCTTCACTTTATTAATAATATTATTTTGTGTGTTTAAAACATGTAAATTTTGCAAAGCTTACTTAAATCATACACTTACATGAGCAGTTATGTCAACAGACGGGAATTTAGATGCCGTCTCGACAGACGTCGGACGAACAGGCCAATATGTAGTAAAACATATTATATTCTTTGGTACTCTTAACAAAGGGTAATCAGTAAGATTGGTAATACTGACAATATGGTTTGTTGTTTAAGGCCACACTCAGGGGTATCTCAGCTCTATTACGGCGGTCTGTGAATACTCGAGTCTTTATTAGATAATCCAGTGGTCAACAGCATGAGCATCGATCTACGCAAATGGGATTCGATGGCATGTGTCAACCAAGTTAGAGAGCCCGACCCCCCGATCCCGAAAATATGTCTCTGAAGCAGATATGCACACTTAAGACCTTTTTCAGAGGTTGTACCTGAGAAGATCCGGATCCCATGCTTCGGATCATCAAGGGTCCCCCCTTTCAGAAAGCGATCATAGCTTTCACACAGGTTTTTCATCGCTTTGTTTACGCCAAGCAATATTCCTGCTATATGATAGCGGTCTGTATCTAATCGAAATCGATTCTGGACCAGACAATCCAAAAATTGACATTTATATGCGCATCGCTCCAAGCGATTGGAATACTTAGCGATGTATAAACCAAGTCATCAAGCCTGACCATCATCCATCCACGTTAATCGCCTCTTACGACAAACATGGGTGGCTGGAGACCAGTTCTAACCCGGATCTTCACGGGTTTTATCATCACAAATATGATTTACATTGCTCTCAAATACTATCCTATCATTAAGTATATTCGATATATCAGATATACAATAACACTAAAATACACCACTCTGACGTCATCCAATTGTCAGTCGATACTCGCCATGTAATGCAAATTGTCTTTAAATGACCTCGACGGTGTCTGTTCCACGTAGAGATTAACTTTTACAATTACAATCACTGCAATCATTATGTAGAACATGACCAAAGTCTAAGGCCACTGAGCGTAATATCACCGTCATACAGTCACCAACGACACAACACACTTTACCCGCATGTTGTATAATCTTCACATTTAGAGGTCAATTTCTGGGACAGGACCGGGTAAACCCTGCTCTATTCTAGGACGTAGTATGGAAAACGAATGATCTATTCTGGGACGAGGCCCTACTAAAACCTCGAATTCTCTCCTGTAATTAAAATGTGAAATAAAATGACCTTTCCGTCTGCTCTATGAAAGGCTTCTTGTGACACGCTTTATGAAGATATGTTTAAGCTTGTGATGTTAAGCTTTGACAACGCGTGTTTAGAAACCTGACAAAATAGGTCACTGGATACCGTCCTTCATACGGTGACGATGTCGGACGCGGCGACTCCAGGCCGGTTTGTAGGCCGAGGCAATACTTTTCTAGGACGGAGCAGGACACTACCCTGTTCCGGAAAGGAGACAGGCCTATATATATGTTTCAATATTTGTCCAGGAAGATATGAGCGTCTGTTACGAGGAGTTGTGACACTAAGGTAAATGTAAGTACATATTTTAATATATTGAATAATATAATACTTTGATTAATAGATTATCAATTCAGCTAGAACTAAGCATAGTAATAATGACTTCCATATAAGGAAGTGTTACTACGTCTACTCGCGGGGAATGTTATTGAAGCCAGGCCTACTGGCCCACATATGACATATGAATGGATGGCGGGACTCAAAAGGGCAACTCTGTTGTTGTTTGTGTCATGTTCAAATCTGTATTGTTTTTTAGTTCGTTGTTTACTCAGAAATATCACCAGAACAAGCTGGAGTCAGCTTGGACTTTATAACCCGGCCCTGTCGAAGCTGAATGGCGACCACGTGATAGACAAATTGATTCAACTTATTTGTGATGATCTTACTGTCTATCTCTTCGTTCACCGCGCTAAAAGACCCAGGTTCGATTCCCCACATGGGTACAATGTGTGAATCCCATTTCTGGTGTCCCCCGACGCGATATTGCTGGAATATTGCTAAAAGCGGCGTAAAACTAAACTCAGTCAGTTCAAGCTACTGATTAGTACCTCTAGCCCCTCGCCTGGCTGTTCTGTTGGCTGTACTCACTCCCCTGTAACTGGCTTAACTGCTACTATTAATTAACTCGTAAGGTCAGGTGTTGGTTGTGAGTAGGTGACTACCGGTACTTGCTATAGATAATAGAGAATCACGGCTCAGTGATTATTATTGATTAGTAGATGATCACTGTTGCTAATAATTGACAAAACAAATATGAAGATTCTTTATTTATTACATTCACAAATATATTAATTCAGATCCTGACACATTCTCTGAATGCTGAGGCAGGTACTCTAGTCCAAGGCGTTTAATCTTGTCATTTCTATCTACATATTGCTTCCTTCGTTTGGGAGCAGACTGTCCACACTTAAGTTGCAAAAGCTGTACTTGGCTAGATGCTTCCTCGTGGATAAATAAGTACCGGTAGTCATCTATTCACAAACAAAACCTAACCTAACGAGCTTAGTAGCAGTTAATCCAGTTACAGGGGAGTGAGTACAGCTAACAGAACAGCCAGGCGAGGGGCTAGAGGTACTAATTAGTGCCTTGTAACAACAGGGGTCTAGAGGAATAATGTCACCTGCATTTGTCATTTCAGCAGGTTCCCTAGAGTAGTTTAACTTTGTGATTAATAGCATATAAAATACGTCATTATCAGTTTTCATTTGAGAAATATAAAATGTTAGAGATAATAAACAGGGTAAAATACCCACCAAGGATGAAATTCCTCTGTAACCTGGACGAGATACAACAGCACTTCTCTAACAAGAAAAGAAACTGTGATGCAAGAATATCGTTTAGATGAAGGAGTTAATGATTCTCCGCGTATCAACGTGATACAACGACGTAATAAAAGCAGGTATTAAATGCGAACAATTGCATCGAACCTGGCTTCACAGTGTCAGGTGTCATAAATGATCGAGAAATTCCTCTCGATGATTCCTAAAAATTGTATCGCGAGGGATAAAGTAAACAAACAAGAATTACCTCCCTTACATCTACTAACCGTGTCTCGTTGGACTAATAGCTTTGTTATCAGCGAATGGTTGTCATTATCCGGACATGTGTTTATCTGAATGTGTAGGAAAAGCAGGATTTTATGGATGTCAACTTCTTTATTGTGAATAACACGACGTTTCGGAGTGTATGCTTGCTCCTTCATCAGGTGACGTTTCGGAGTGTATGCTTGTTCCTTCATCAGGTGACGTTTCGGAGTGTATGCTTGCTCCTTCATGTGAATGTGTAGACCCTTTAAAGGGAAACTGAGACAAAGTTTTGTATTTTTTCAAATGGACTGTGTAAGATCTGACCAATGGTGACACCAGAGGCCTGTAACAGATCTATTATATGGTAGCTGTGTCAGTGGTCCAATGTTGACTGCATGGAACTCTGAGTAGAAGAAAGGTCGGGGCACGTTGTGCTGAGTCACCTCTCAGAGTAACAGTATTTATGCACCGACCGTTCAGCCTTCCTTTCAGTACGAAGGAGGCTATGACTTCGTGCTATTATACTCCTAGGCCAAATGTAGAGATAACATCATTATCAGGTAATATGATACACCAGGCCTTATCACCCACACTGCATATCCTGATCATGTTGAACACCAGTGCTTGTCACCGTCCATTAAACCATGTGGTTAATACTCATGCAGTTGGTCTATGAACATGTGGACACTGTTTCAACAGCAGGGTAATCCTTGTTTGTTTTCAGTAACCTGATACATTCTGTGTCTAGTTCCACATTGACAAGAATCTCTGGAGGGTGGGAGTTGTCATACCAATTACTGGATAACGCTTTTACTGCTGCTGAAAGATCCTAAAAGATAGGGACTTTTCTAACATTTGGCCTAGGACTAATTAGTAATCACAGGCATTCGTTGATCATTCACTCAGTTCCTGACCGAGATGTGTTCAACTGAAGCATCGTCTGCTCGCCGGCTCGCTCAACTGGGACGGATTTTGAAATGCAGTTGTGGGAAGCAAGATCTAGATCTACATTGCCCATGTACAGCGCGGGAATTCAGCACGGGAAAATCATCAGACCAGGATCGCCCCACGGCCGGGCCACTTTCAAAGTAAGTTAGTTTAACTAAAAGTTGACACAGCCACATCCAATTCTGTGTCGAACGGGTAAAGTCGTATTCAGAGTTACCTCCCTCTGATTGATGTGAATAATTTTATTATATCCTTGTCAATGCATTTATTTGCATTTAAGCCACAATTGATTCTAGAGTGCTGTTCTCATGAAAAATGCATTGCGATTAATCTTGGCAGGAATAGTTTATAGCTAAACCCTACCCAACGTCATAGTTCAACATCCCATAAGCAAATACTCAAACTGACTACCAGGCTATGTATTTAATGGTCTGCTTGGAATAATTTGGTTTGTGAATTTGTCAATCCATCTTGCTGTTTTATCTGATGTCCACATATCGCAATTTTGTTCACGTTTTCTCCCTTGGTGGTGTCAGGATCCGCTTTTTGCCGACATTCCCCATGGTTACGATCCTTGTTTTGTCAGAACCCTATTCGCACACTGTATTTGTAACGGGGTGTGGATTCATAGGCTTTCCTCACATGAAGATCACGCCGTGCAAAAAACTGAAATATTGCTGAGAGCGGCACTAAACGAACCTGCTCACTATTTATCTGGATTCAGTTTTTGAACCATAATAATCAGTTTTAATTGAATCATGTTCTAGCCGCTACCTTGCTCATCTGAATAACCTATACCGCCTGACAGCTGACGAGACGGGGAGGAACTCGGTCATCCACACGCCAGGGTTGTCCTATGAAGCCATCGACAGAGATGGTAATTTTATTTTTAATATTTATGTAAATATTACAAAACATGTTAGTACAACCACAAATATGGTTGCTTGGTTATGGTTTCGCTTCATGGGGATCCAGGGCGGTGGTGTGGTTAAAGTGTTCACTCGATACGCCGAAGACCCGAGTTCGATTCCTCACATGGGTAATGTGTGAAGCCCATTTCTGGTGTCCCCCCGCCGTGATGGTGCTGGAATATTGCTAAAGGCGACGTACAACTCAACTCACTCACTTATTCACTCATGGGGTAGCTTGCTATGTGTCAAAAGTTAACTGATACGATACAGACTTGGGTCATTTCAGAGCCGCGAACGCAAAGATGACTCGTTTTGAATAGTGGTGACTCAGACAACTCACATGCTTAAGGCTCTGTGTTAATAAAGGCGGTAGGGTAGCCTCGTGGTTAAAGTGTTCGCTCGTCACGCCGAATACCCGAGTTCGATTTCCACATGGGTACAATGTGTGAAGCGCATTTCTGGCGTCCAGCGCAGTGATATTGCTGGAACATTCCTACAAGCAGTGTAAGACTAACTCACTCACTCTCACTGTGCTAACACAACGTTACATAAAGCAAAGACTGTCCCACTTTCCCTCACCCTCCCACATCTCCTACCTCCCCACAACGTCAACCTCCAACAACTCCAGATTCCCACAACTCCAATCTCCCCATGACTACATGCTCCCCACAACGTCAACCTCCAACAACTCCAGATTCCAACAACTCCAATCTCCCCATGACTACATGCTCCCCACAACGTCAACCTCCAACAACTCCAGATTCCAACAACTCCAATCTCCCCATGACTACATGCTCTCCACAACGTCAACCTCCAACAACTCCAGATTCCACAACTCCAATCTCCCCATGACTACATGCTCTCCACAACGTCAACCTCCTACAACTCCAGATTCCCACAACTCCAATCTCCCCATGACTACATGCTCCCCACAACGTCAACCTCCAACAACTCCAGATTCCAACAACTCCAATCTCCCCATGACTACATGCTCCCCACAACGTCAACCTCCAACAACTCCAGATTCCCACAACTCAATCTCCCCATGACTACATGCTCCCCACAACGTCAACCTCCAACAACTCCAGATTCCCAACAACTCCAATCTCCCCCATGACTACATGCTCCCCACAACGTCAGCCTCCAACAACTCCAGATTCCCACAACTCCAATCTCCCCATGACCCCATGCTCCCCACTACATCAACCTCCAACACAGATTCGTCAACCTCCAACAATGCTCCCCACAACGACCTCCAACAACTCCAGATTCTCCACAACTCCACCTCCCCATGATGCATGCTCCCCACAACGTCAACCTCCAACAACTCCAGATTCCCACAACTCCAATCTCCCCATGACTACATGCTCCCCACAACGTCAACCTCCAACAACTCCAGATTCCAACAACTCCAATCTCCCCCATGACTACATGCTCCCCACAACGTCAACCTCCAACAACTCCAGATTCCCACAACTCCAATCTCCCATGACTACATGCTCCCCACAACGTCAACCTCCAACAACTCCAGATTCCCACAACTCCAATCTCCCCCATGACTACATGCTCCCCACAACGTCAACCTCCAACAACTCCAGATTCCCACAACTCCAATCTCCCCATGACTACATGCTCCCACAACGTCAACCTCCAACAACTCCAGATTCCCACAACTCCAATCTCCCCATGACTACATGCTCCCCACAACGTCAACCTCCAACAACTCCAGATTCCAACAACTCCAATCTCCCCATGACTACATGCTCCCCACAACGTCAACCTCCAACAACTCCAGATTCCCACAACTCCAATCTCCCCCATGACTACATGCTCCCCACAACGACTACAGCTCCCCACAACAGCTTCCACAACGACTCATGCTCCCACAACGTCACCTCCAACAACTCCAGATTCCCACATCACCAATCTCCCCCATGACTACATGCTCCCCACAACGTCAACCTCCAATAACTACTATAACCTCTACTAAAAGTGATGCTTTACCTGTGCCAGATTATCATTTTTCGTCTGTTTTTTTTGTTTGTTTGACAAAATATGCAATTTTAAACAATATATGTACACAAGTGAGTTAGTTTTATGGATGAGTGAGTGAATTTAGTTTTACGCCGCACTCAGCAATATTCCTGGTATATGGCGGCGGCCTGTAAATAATCGAGTCTGGATCAGACAATCCAGTGAATCCACATCATGAGCATCGATCTGCGCAATTGGGAACCGATGACATGGGTCAACCAAGCCAGATAGCCTGACCACCCGGTTCCGTTAGTCGCCACTTACGATAAGCATGGGTTACTGAAGGTTCATTCCAACCCGGACCATCACGGGTCAGTTTTATGGATATACAGCTTTTTTCTAATTAATGTAAGCGACATTTCGATGTAGGTTCTAACACCGTTATCAAGCAAGTGATGTTAATACGGCAGGAAAGGCTTATATAAACATGAGTAAAGTGATAAGGTTGATACACAAAGTGTGAAGGATGATTACAGAGCAAACTGTCTGCGCATTATTACATCATTGTTGGTTATGATGTCTTGAAATATCAAAATTGTTTTGCAGGAAACCCCACAATGGCCAGTGTTTTGAGATTTGTTACAACAGCAAGAATATTTGCCTCAAACTGTCCACTTGATGACACTGGAAGGACGCTGTTTCGCTTCGACCAACTCTTCTCAGACACAATGTCATTTGTGGCTTCGACAGAGGTCATATCAGAAAAGGCAATGTATGATACGTCTGTACCCAAGAGCCCATTAGATGTTTTATATCAACTCGGGTATGTGGGCAAGTCTTCCCTTAGTACTGTATCGTCCATCGTTGTTCCCTCGACCGGAGAGACCATCCTCAGAAACATCAATCAATTTGTTGTGGTGGATAAAACGAGCAGACGACCCAAACCACTTCCGGATTGCTGGCGGGAGAAATATGGTGGAATGGCCACCTTGAAAGAACCACTGATCGTTCCAAGATTGCAAAGACCACCTGACGCTGTGCAGTACCGTGTCAACGTGGTTTGGTTTGACACTGATAATTACAAGCATACTAACTACACTGTCTATGTCGACTACTGCGACAGCGCTTTGCATTATGCCATAGAGAAAGGTTGTATGGGAGCCGTTACCAAAGATGTGGTCAAACGTGGCATCAAGTCCTCGAGGAACACTTACATGGGGGAGAGTTTAGAGAACGATGAGCTGACTGTTTGGGTGTGGGCATCGGACCAGGATGACAGAACTGTCCATTTCGACATTCAGAAATTGGACCAGTCTATATTCCAAAGCACGTCTGTTTATCATGATAAATAATGTTTTAACGATCGCACGTGTCTCTATTATGATGACTGAACGGCGTGTTGGGGTTGCAGAGTTTAGAACCTTCTTGTAATGAGTGATAATTTGACATTTGTATTCAGTAATAGGCCACTGGGCCAAAATACATTCATTGATATAAGTTACATAAAAAAGTTTTACAGAAAAACATCAGATTTTTTTATTTTCCCAACATGATATAAAAAAGGCATAGATTATTTATAACATTTATGTTTGTTGAAGACATTATGTTGACTGTGTTGTGATAGAGGATGTATAAAATATTTATCCAGAAATTTATTCCTTATACCAGCTTTAAGGCGGCAGTTGTTTTACAATAATTGGGTCACGGCTTGATAACCAGTGATTGATATTATCATCAATGCCAGAACATAACCTGTCCTCCGAGATTCTGTTGGCTAGCAAGTGAATTATTTCAATTTTAATGGACAGGCTAGAAAATCATTGAGGACACCGGGTGTTTGCAAAAAGGACAAATTGTCCAGTCCAACCTGGAGCAAATGCTTCTCTGACAATTCGTCTTAAAAGTATGTGTTTTTCCCGGCGCTGCAAATCAGTACTCCTACCGTGTTATGGTGGAAAGTAATCAAACCAGACAATATGGTGATTGAGATTACCCAAACCTACTGCGAGGTGAGGTGAGGTGAAATTGGGTTTAACGTCGTGCTTGAGAATATTTCGCTCATATGACGACGTGCATGCGTGTGTATGTGTATGTGCGGCTGCTTGTACTAGCCCAGACTGAAGCTGGTTTTATAGTGCAAGCTCACTGAGATACCATGCCGCAGTGAAGCATGAATACCCCACTCAGACACAGTATACTGACTCCGAGCCGACCAGTCCTTGTTGTACCCATAAATGCCGAGCGCCAGGCAGGGACCAACAAGTACCATATTTTAACGTCTTTTGGTATGACGCGGTCGGGGATCGAGCCCGCGACCTTCCGCTCTCCGGGCGGACGCTCTAACCACTACACCACGGAGAAGGTCAAACCTACTGCGAAAAGGGCATGGTCTTCGTGAGTCTTGACCTATTAGGGGCGGCCGGGTAGCCTAGTGTTTAAGGCTTTCGATTCCCCATATGGACACAATTTTTAAAGCCTATTTCTGGTGTTCCCTGCCGCGACATAGCTGGAAAACTGCCAAAAGCGGCATAAAACTAAACTCACTCACTCACTCACTCCATCAGTGTAATTATGAGTTTGTTTAAGGTGTCCCTTCACAACTGCATGATCAAAATTGTTTCCGAAACACGAACAAAGTCATATCTATTCATCAAAATCTGTCCACGCCCCTTTAGAGTTTCACACCTAACCTTTGATTTGAAACCAGGAACTCACGAAGACAATCGATTACATCACAACGTTGTAGATAACGGATATGATGAAGAAGACGAAGATGAGGAAAAATGTTATCAAGAGTGCAGGTACATCTTAGAAATATTTTCAGAAGTATTAGAAATTATTCCATTCAGCGGAAACATTAAACGAACTATGACCATGACTAGAAAAGAGACGACTATAAGGTCATCCAAAAATTAGAAAAACTAAAAACAAATAAAAAGAAAAGAACTTAGAATGTAGAAGACCCAGTTTATGGATTCTGTCGAAGGCTGAAAACAGGAAATGGTGTAAAAAAAAAAGGTCTGTATTTCTTGCCAGACAAATTGAAAAGTGAAATAAACATTTGTAGTCTATTCTCTGTTTTGTTGTAATATTGACATGAAGGTGACGGTGATCTTAAAACAAAACATTACACATTAAATACATATTATCGGTTTTGAATTACGAAATAATTATTCTAAAATCATATAAACCATTACACATTAAATACATCTTTTGTTATCGGTTTTGAATTACGAAATATGTATTCTTAAATCATATAAACACCAACATGCAACCGCAAACCCATTTGCAATTTGGGATCATTAAAAATATCGAAAATGTATCGAATATAGGTCTGAAAATAACATTCCACTTCATATCATGTCTCCTTATGGATTCCTTATGTAAATTCTCTCTTCGTGTGTCACATTGTAATTAAATGACAGGCAAAGTTTGGCAAATAGTGATATATTCATGAATGGTTCAGGCCATACTCGTTATAACGCCCATATGGGCCTCCTTTCACAAAGCCCTAAGGTGATCGTAATTCAGTCAGGTAACCTTGGTGCAATCTGAAAGAATGGGAGTTAAGGTTAACCTTAGGTTGCTTCGTGAAAGGAGCCCCTGAACAAATGTTGGCGTTATAGAACATACATGAAGGCCCGTTTCAGGTCAAGAATCGAGTTCACGTTTTTTCCTGCTCCGTCCTAGTCAAGAGTTGGGGCATAGCCTGCCTCGTCCCAGAAACTGCAAATGTGACGATGACATCATGCAGACAGAGTGCGTCAGCCAATGTGGGACTGTATCATTGTGTTCAGTGACCCATCTTGTCAAGACACATTCCTAAACATACCTTGTCTGACTCAATCTTTGTGCTCACCCGTGAAGGTCCGGGTTAGAATATTGATCTTCAGTAACCCATGCTTGTAAGAGGCGACTAAAGGGATCGGGTGGTCACATGTCATCGGTTCCCAATTGCGCAGATCGATGCTCATGCTGTTGATCACTGGATTGTCTGGTCCAGACTCGATTATTACCAGACCGCGCCATATAGCTGCAATATTTCTGAGTGCTGCGTAAAACTAAACTCACTCACTCATTCAATCTTTGTGCTATTGTGTCACGTCTTTTGGTGAGATGCGTCGGACGATACAAACTGCGATCTCTTAGAGATGAGTTATTGAATTTAGTTTTACGCCGCTTTTAACAATATTACGGCGGTGAACACCAGAATGGGCTTCACACATTGTACCCATGTTTGGAATCAAACCCTGGACTTCGGCGTGACGAGCGAACGCTTTAACCACTAGGCTATACCCAACCGCCCCTCTTAGAGATGAGATTATACAAGGCACAGATGAAGCACAGTCTGGTTTGAGAACATGCGACGGGTGGCTATAATTGTTTTAGCCCAGCTACGTAGAGTTTATTGTAAGCCCATAACAGTGTGCATGTATTAAGTACAATACTTCCCATGCCTATACGGTGCATTTGAACAAAATACACAATGGCAGCGTATTTGAACAGGCACCAGAGAAACTAAGTTTTCTGTTAATGAAAATGGATAAAGCTGGTTACCCCGCAGGCATCTCCTTCTTGCCTGCTGGAAAGAGAAACAAAACTAGCCATCCGTGCAGACATGGTGTCAACTTTAGGGATGGTGCTCGTTAGTTCTTTCTTTTTCGGTACACTGGTGTGGGCCATGGACCCTGTGTACATGGTCCATATACATTGATATACAAAATACTTATACAAGTACATCAAGGCATGGAGGATATAACGGTCCATATCCAGTGGTACATAGTTTCACAAGGTACTTATACAAGTACATCAAGGCATGGAGGATATATAACGGTCCATATCCAGTGGTACATAGTTTCACAAGGCACTTATACAAGTACATCAAGGCATGGAGGATATAACGGTCCATATCCAGGGGTACATAGTTTCACAAGGTATTTACACAAGTACATCAAGGCATGGAGGATATAACAGTCCATATCCAGTGGTACATAGTTTCACAACGTACTTATACCAGCACATCAAGGCATGGAGGATATAACGGTCCATATCCAGTGGTACATAGTTTTACAAGGTACTTATACCAGCACATCAAGGCATGGAGGATATAACGGTCCATATCCAGTGGTACATAGTTTCACAAGGTACTTATACAAGTACATCAAGGCGTGGAGGATATAACGGTCCATATCCAGTGGTACATAGTTTCACAAGGTACTTATACAAGTACATCAAGGCATGGAGGATATAACGGTCCATATCCAGTGGTACATAGTTTCACAAGGTACTTATACAAGTACATCAAGGCGTGGAGGATATAACGGTCCATATCCAGTGGTACATAGTTTCACAAGGTACTTATACCAGCACATCAAGGCATGGAGGATATAACGGTCCATATCCAGTGGTACATAGTTTCACAAGGTACTTATACCAAGTACATCAAGGCATGGAGGATATAACGGTCCATATCCAGTGGTACATAGTTTCACAAGGTACTTATACAAGTACATCAAGGCATGGAGGATATAACGGTCCATATCCAGTGGTACATAGTTTCACAAGGTACTTATACATATCCAGTACATCAAGGCATGGTACATACAAGTACATGGAGGATATAACGGTCCATATCCAGTGGTACATAGTTTTTTCACAAGGTACTTATACAAGTACATCAAGGCATGGAGGATATAACGGTCCATATCCAGTGGTACATAGTTTCACAAGGTACTTATACAAGTACATCAAGGCGTGGAGGATATAACGGTCCATATCAGTGGTACATAGTTTCACAAGGTACTTATACAAGTACATCAAGGCATGGAGGATATAACGGTCCATATCCAGTGGTTTCACAAGGTACTTATACAAGTACATCAAGGCATGGAGGATATAACGGTCCATATCCAGTGGTACATAGTTTCACAAGGTACTTATACAAGTACATCAAGGCGTGGAGGATATAACGGTCCATATCCAGTGGTACATAGTTTCACAAGGTACTTATACAAGTACATCAAGGCATGGAGGATATAACGGTCCATATCCAGTGGTACATAGTTTCACAAGGTACTTATACAAGTACATCAAGGCATGGAGGATATAACGGTCCATATCCAGTGGTACATAGTTTCACAAGGTACTTATACAAGTACATCAAGGCATGGAGGATATAACGGTCCATATCCAGTGGTACATAGTTTCACAAGGTACTTATACAAGTACATCAAGGCATGGAGGATATAACGGTCCATATCCAGTGGTACATAGTTTCACAAGGTACTTATACAAGTACATCAAGGCGTGGAGGATATAACGGTCCATATCCAGTGGTACATAGTTTCACAAGGTACTTATATCCAAGCACATCAAGGCATGGAGGATATAACGGTCCATATCCAGTGGTACATAGTTTCACAAGGTACTTATACAAGTACATCAAGGCATGGAGGATATAACGGTCCATATCCAGTGGTACATAGTTTCACAAGGTACTTATACAAGTACATCAAGGCATGGAGGATATAACGGTCCATTATCTCAACACATGCCAGATTCTCAAATTCACCTGCCAAGGCGACGGTCGTCCAGTTAAAATTTAGACATGTACAGTACAACCAGAAATTATTGAGAATTTAAAGATTGTAATTGTTTTTTTCACTCATTACTCACGTATTAAATGTGAATATTAGCAGAACATAACTCCAGATTCAAAGACAGGTGAACAGTTAGTATTTTGTCAAGTCACCATGGGCAGCAATGCAGGCTTCAATGCGGCGGGGCATACTACTGATCAAAGAAGTTAGAAAGTCGTGGTCCATGCTGTCCCAATATCGGACCACCTCTTCTTTCATTTCAGCAATATTTGTCAGATTTTTCTTATTGACACTTTCCTTCATAAGTCCCCAAACATTTTCTATTGGATTTAGGTCAGGGCTATATAGCTTGGCCAATCTAATAATGTCATATTTTGGGTCCGAAACCAGGCCTGTGAATGCTTTGAACGATGTTTTGGGTCGTTGTCCTGCTGGAAAATCCAAACATTTCCATAGAACACGTGAGCAGATGGAAGTAAATGTCCCTCGAGAATATCTGTGTACCGCTCACTGTTCATATTCCCTTCAATACACACAGAGGGCGTTGCCCCTAACACAGATATGCCACCCCACACGTTAAATTTCGGACTGTACTTTGGGCGCTGATACAAAGGTTTTTCAGTTTGTTTGGTCCAGAATTTCAGTGTATTAGGAAACAGCCACACAGAACTTTCATCTGAGAAAATCACATTGTCCCAGTTAAAATTTCTATGCTGTAAGCACCAGTTCAACCTTTCGCTCCTTTTGTTCAGGTTTCATGATCGGTGATGGAATTCCTCGACTTTTCTGCCAACCCATTGCATGCAGCTCAGTTCTAATTGTCTCCTTACAGACAGCCACAGTTCCTCTATCAATCATATCCAGCCTTAAGTTTTCTAAACTCCTTCTGTTGTTTTAGAAACAAGAATACTAAGCCGCCTCCTGTCACCGACAGTCAATTTTCTGGGCCTACCTGCGCCTCCCTGGTGCTCAATGCCATATCCATTTGCAATATTTTTCAAAACACGATAAACAGTGGACAAAGGATGCCTGTTCTACTTGAAATCACTTTTAGCTGATCTGATGTCCTTGTTATAATACTCTAAAATCAACTTCCTCTTCTCTAAATCATCCATACTGAGGATCACTGAAAATGTCGTCTGCTAGCAAGTAAACAAAGGGGGATAACTCTTCACAAACTAATGAAAAAGGATTAACGGAGTTGTCTCTTGAATGAAACCAAGCACTTGATAGCTGGTCAAGGTTGTTTATACTAGAAATCCAATTAAACATATTCCTAAAATTTCAATAATTTCTGGTCATACTATATATGAGTTCAAGATGGTGTCTCAGACATAATCCCAGATCAGGAATACCTTCAACTACCACCACAAAGGCTAATGTTTGCAAATACAAAACACAGAACGATCGACGACTCTGCACACGCCACATAGCCAATACAGAAGACGTCTCTCGTGAGAGAAATGAGAACGAACGGGACATTTCAAGGTCTCTGTGTTCGGACTCTTCGTCAGAAACGTCCATGGTTCATCAGTTTACTCGAGAACCAGGCCTAGTTGATCTGATTAGGGAATCGAACCCGGGTCTTCGGCGTGACAAGCGAACGCCTTAACCACTAGGTCACCCCACCGCTCGTTCATAGGTCAAGACGAGCACAGACCATGTCCTTTTCCCAGTAGGGTTGGGTAATCTCCATCACCTGATTGTCTGGCTTGATTACATTCCCCTATAACATGGAAGTGTACGAAATTAACCAAAAACCCAGGATGACATCAGGGCTGGTAACTTCAAAATGTTACCAGCCCAAAATGGATTAAACCAGACAAGAAAATAATTCAATACTTAGTCAGTGCTTTGAGCTTGCGATGCGATAGTTCAATGTTCAAACAGTAATTGTCAAGTGTAAATGTAACGCTCAATTGGAAGAATAGATTTCAAGATATGTTGCATTTACTCAGATGTATGGAACGTGTCAACTAAAATTTCTACCAGACCATCGGGCTGGCTAGCTGTAAATTTAGATCGTCCGTCAGAAATCTAGCCCATCTCGGGCGGTCGGACGGGCCTTATTTCATACACTGGTACTGGCAAAAGACACATACTTTTTAAGCGACTTGTCAGAGCAGGATTAGCTCCAGGTAGGGCAGGACACATTGGCCCTTTCGTAAACACCCGGTGTCATCAATGGGTTTTTACCCGTCAACTGAAATTGAAATTATTTACTTGCTAGCCAATGGAATCTGTCTCAGGGGGCAGTCAAGGTTATGTTCTGGCACTGACGATAATATCAATCACTGGTTATCAAACAGAGCCCATTATTATAAAACAACTACCGCCTAAAAGCTGGTATATTGCCGATTGCGGAGTTGAACAACCACCAATTAAAAGTAACAAATAATCTGTGAATATCCACGACAATATTTATTTTGCGCACGTCTGGGTATCATCGAAATGATGCATCAAATTATCACTCATTATAAATAGGTTCTAAACTTTGAAACCCCAACATACCGTTCAATCATCATGATAAACACACGTGCTTTTTTGCAAATTATTTCCGGTTTCCTGTTGTGTATATTTTTTGTGTATCAATTCAAACCATCAAACATGAAAAATACGATCGTTAAATCACCATGAAACATCATTATTCATCATGATAAACAAACGTGCTTTGGAATATAGACTGGTCCAATTTCTGAATGTCGAAATGGACAGTTCTGTCATCCTGGTCCGATGCCCACACCCAAACAGTCAGCTCATCGTTCTCTAAACTCTCCCCATGTAAGTGTTCCTCATGGACTTGATGCCACGTTTCACCACATCCTTGGTAACGGCTCCCATACAACCTTTCTCTAGGGCATAATGCAAAGCGTTGACGCAGTAGTCGACATAACAAGTGTAGTTAGTATGCTTGTAATTATCAGTGTCAAACCAAACCACGTTGACACGGTACTGCACAGCATCAGGTGGTCTTTGCAATCTTGGAACGATCAGTGGGTCTTTCAAGATGGCGATTCCACCATATTTCTCCCGCCACCAATCCGGAAGTGGTGTGGGTCGTCTGCTCATTTTATCCACCACAACAAATTGATTGATGTTTCTGAGGATGGTCTGTCCGGTCGAGGGAACAACGATGGACGCTACAGTACTAAGGGAAGACTTGCCCACATACCCGAGTTGATATAAAACATCTAATGGGCTCTTGGGTACAGATGTATCGTACACTGCCTTTTCTGATATGACCTCTGTCGAAGCCACAAATGACATTGTGTCTGAGAAGAGTTGGTCGAAGTCAAACATCGTCCTTCCAGTGTCATCAAGACGGCGGTTTGTGGCAAATGTTCTTGCTGTTGAAACAAATTTCAAAACACTGGCCATTGTGGGGTTTCCTGCAAAGCAAATTTAACGCTTCAATACATCATAAACCAACAACGATGTAACATGAATCAACTTACAATACAAACTTTACTCATGTATGATATATACTGACGTATATAACAAAGTACACACCTGGTGTTTGGGGACTATTCCCATTAAAACTATAAATATTTTGCTAGCAATGTTGTAATTGGGTACAATATCAGTGGTGTTTTGGAAACACTTGCACAATGTTTGTGACAAGACAGAATCAAAACACTTTTTAAATTGTTATGCTGTTCAGTCTAAGTAAACAAAGGCTCAGTATTATTCGTTACACTGCTATACTGAGTCTAACAAAACCTAGTATGTTCATAAAAACAATATGTTAATGGTAAATTTATTAAACTCTCAAAATCCTCTTGTTATACATGCAGTTGCAGCATTCTTAAAACATACATTCATTGCAAGATAATTACTTCAATCTGTACTCACGTGACATTACAAATACATTATATATACTGAACAACAATAGAAACGCACCACCCATATAATACTATACTAGGCACATAAAGAAACTGTGCATACAAAAATTTAAAATCTAAATTTATCAAACCTGTGTAGACACATAAGGATTTAAACTCAGAAATGAGTGACATGTATCCAACATGCATGCACGTGCCACGTTCCGTGACGTCAGTGGGTTCGTCCTTGAGACGTGCAATACTTTGTTGCACGTGCATTCCGGGAAAGAGAAACAGAGCAAATGAATGCCACACAATACTGTCACTTTGGAAAGCTCAACCCCTGCCCTTGCGATCGTTCAAAAAATTAAACGTCATGAGGCCATTGGGGTGGTCCGTGGGGGAATGTCTCAACGACAAGTGGCTGCACATTTCCACTGTCACCGGACACCATTTCTGCACTGGTGAGACGCTACCAGAACACAAATGACGTCATCGATCGGCCACGTTCAGGACGTCCACGTGTAACAACGCCAAGACAGGACAGATGGATAAGGGTGACCCATCTTCGCCACAGGTTTCAGACTGCAGTGATCACTGCCCGAACCATCCCAGGACTTCGCCGTATCCACCCCAACACAGTTCGACAACGTTTTCTTCATCACGGGATCAGACCACGACGTCCCGCCATACGGCCTATCCTGACACAACGTCATCGACAAGCTCGCCGAATGTGGTGCCGAAATCATGTCCGCAGACTCTTGTTTTGGTGGAGAAATGTGTTTTTTACAGATGAGTCCAGGTTGAACATTTCCCATAGTGATGGACGTCAACGTGCCTTTAGACGCGTGGGAGAACGTTATGCACAGGCCTGTGTCTTGGAGAGGAATCGCTTTGGTGGTGGTTCCGTGATGATTTGGGGTGGAATAACAGCACGCCAAAGAACTCCTTTGGTGATTGTTCAGGGCAACTTAACTGGTGTGGGCTACAGGGATCAGATTCTTCGACCTGTGGCAATTCCTTTTCTGCAACGTCATGGCCCTGGGTTAACATTCCAACAGGACAATGCCCGCCCTCATACGGCAAGGGTTGCTATGGATTTCTTGCAACACCACAACGTTGACTTACTGCCTTGGCCTGCAAATACACCGGATCTCTCCCCGATAGAGCATGTTTGGGACGAGATGGATCGACGTCTACGTCGCCTTCCTCATCCGCCAGATAACGTCCGTGACCTTGCAACAGAACTTGAGAGAATCTTGCGTGACATCCCAAAAGCCTTCCTTGCACGTTTGATAGGCTATATGCGTCGTCGATGCACTGCTGTTCTCAATGCCGATGGTGCACATACCCGTTATTGAGCTTGTGACATGGTCGTTTGACCCCTGTCCCTCTTGTGGACTCGTGACGTCATTGTGATTGACTTTTCAATTGAAATTCTCCCGACTTGTTATGGTCTCATGATCCCTCCATTAAAGTTTATATGTACCTTTGACATTGTTATCGTACTTATCAACTGGGATAATATTTTGACAATGCACAGTTTCTTTATGTGGCTAGTATATATAAACTGTAAAATGGGGCATGTATGTATGTATGTATGTATGTATGTATGTATGTATGTATGTATGTATGTATGTATGTATGTATGTTGTGGGGAGCATGGAGTCATTGGGATATTTGAGTTGTGGGAGGCTGAGGTTGTTTGAAGTATGAGTTGTGAGGGTGTTGGAGACGTGGAAGGATGAGTGAAAGTGTGGGGATGAGCTGTCGTTGCCGTATGTAACATAGTGTTAGCACAGTGAGTGAGTGAATAAGTGAGTTTTAAGTGAGACTTCCTCTAAAAACTGTGAGTGAGTGAATTTTGTTTTACATCGCTTTAAGCAACATTCCAGTAATATCACGGCAGTGGACACCTAAATTGGGCTTCACAAATTGTACCCATGTGGAAATCGAACGCGGGTATTCGGCGTGACGAGCGAACACTTTAACCACGAGGCGAACCCACAGCCTTTATTAACACAGAGCCTTAAGCATACGAGCTGTATGAGTCACCACTATTCACAACGAGTCATCTCTTAGTTCGTGGTTCAGGTGACCCATGTCTGTATCGTATCAGCTTACTTTTGCCAATGAAGCAAGCTACCCCATGAGTGAGTGAGTTGAGTTTTACGCCGCCTTTAGCAATATATCAGAAATATCACGGCGGGGGACACCAGAAATGGGCTTCACACATTGCACCCATGTGAGGAATCGAACTCGGGTCTTCTGCGTGACGAGTTAACGTTTTAACCACTAATCTACCCCACCGCCCTGGATCCCCATGAAACGAAACCATAACCAAGCAACCATATTTGTGGTTGTACTAACATGTTTTGCAATATTTACATATATATTAAAAATATAATTACCATCTCTGTCAATGGCTTCATACGACAACCCTGGCGTGTGGATGGCCGAGTTCCTCCCCGTCTCGTCAGCTGTCAGGCGGTATAGGTTATTCAGATGAGCAATGTAGCGGCTAGAACATGATTCAATTAAAACTGATTATTATTGTTCAAAAACTGAATCCAGATAAATAGTGAGCGTTTAGGTGCGTTTAGTTTGGTGCCGCTGTCAGCAATTTTTCAGTTTTTGCATTGCGTGATCTTCATGTGAGGAAAGCCTATGAATCCACACCCCGTTACAAATATAGTCTGCGAGTAGGATTGTGACAAACCAAGGATCGTAACCATGGGGAATATCGGCAAAAAGCGGATCCTGACACCACCAAGGGAGAAAACGTGAACTAAATTTGCGATATGTGGACATCAGATCAAATAGCAAGATGGATTTACAAATTCACAAACCAAACTATTCCAAGCAGACCATTAAATACATAGCCTGGTAGTCAGTTTGAGTATTTGCTCATGGGATGTTGAACTATGACGTTGGGTAGGGTTTAGCTATAAACTATTCCTGCCAAGATTGAAAGACAAAAAACGCAATGCATTTTTCATGAAAACCGCACTATAGAATCAATTCTGGCTTAAATGCAAATAAATGCATTGACAAGGATATAATAAAGTTATTCACATCATTCAGAGGGAGGTAACTCTGAATACGACACAGAATTGGATGTGGCTGTGTCAACTTTTAGTTAAACTAACTTACTCTGAAAGTGGCCCGGACTTGGGGCGATCCTGGTCTGATGATTTTCCCGTGCTGAATTCCCGCGCTGTACATGGGCAATGTAGATCTAAATCTTGCTTCCCACAACTGCATTTCAAAATCCGTCCCAGTTGAGCGAGCCGGCGAGCAGACGATGCTTCAGTTGAACACATCTCAGTCAGGAACTGAGTAAATGATCAAGGAATGTCTGTGATTACTAACAGCACGAAGTATAGCCTCCTTGGTACTGAAAGGAAGGCTGAACGGTTGGTCCTTTAATAATGTTACTCCAAGCACCTACTCAGATAAACGTTCCCCGACCTTTCTTCTACCCAGAGTTCCATGCAATCAATACCGTTCCACTGTCACAGATGTGATTCCAATCATCAGTGCTTCGGTTTATGCTTCCACCTTTGTCAATGTCAGTCCTGCACCAGGTGTATATTCAAATGGTTCAGTGACACAGTCGTTAGGAGGCGGTGGGGTAGCCTAGTGGTAAAAGCTTTCGCTCGTCACGCCGAAGAGTTCGATTCCCACATGGGTACAATGTGTGAAGCCCATTTCTGGCCTCCCCCGCCGATATTGCTGGAATATTGCTAAAATCAGCGTAAAACCAAACTCACTCACTCACTCACATTCGTTAGCGGAGCATTTCCTGCAACACTCGTAGTTCGATCCCTCTTCAGTGTTGTGACGTTAATTCTGAGACCACCTTTCAACACCTGTTGAACTGGCGATGATATATCTTGTGAGGTAAACCATAATCATGCATGTTTATGTCTAAGCGGTTGAGCCATATAGCTCGAATATTGCTGAGTGTGGCGTAAAACTAAACTCACTCTCTCACTCTGAGAGGTTGAATTCAAGATTTGCGTCTGCAGATAATAGAAAACACGCAAATAGTCTTGGGAGCATTTTGTGCCAACGATCAATGTAAACTGATTGTTTTCTAGAGGCTCTATACATAATCGAGACTCACTTTTGACCGTAGTATTTTTACTTCCGGTCAGAGTGTTCTGACAGTTTGTCCTGTGCACACGGTGACGTTCTGGTGCCGTCACAGACGTCATAGAGGTCACACGTGTTATTGACATCTTCTGTTCCAACAGTTTCATCGGTGTGAATTTCTCGTGGGGGTGTCAGGGAACGTCATGAACATGTTTTTCAGTAAAAAAGGAAGACACAATCCACTTTTCACCATCAGTCTTGTTATCTGGACGACAGCAGTACGATACATATCTATTTTCATAATAATGCATACACTAGTTCCATTGTGGGTGTATATTTAAGAATTTATTTGGTTAACTATACATACCGGGGAAACAATATTGCTCCACACATTTCTGATGTTTTCACAGTGCACACACATTAACGTGACACTGTATTTAAAAGCTGAAACAATTAAGAAAGAAAAAAAGAAATATCTAAATAATACATTTCGGTGTGTTTATCTTGACTAAGGGGCCCGCTGTTTATCAGGTGATGAAGGTCAACGAATACATATTGTTTTACGCCGCTTTTAGCAATATTCCAGCAAAACCACGGCGGGGGACACCAGACTGACTGACTGACTGAATTTGGTTTTACGCCGCTTTAAGCAATATTCCAGCAACATCACGGCGGGGGACACCAGAAATGGGCTTCATAAATTGTACCCATGTGGGGATTCGAACCCGGGTCTTCGGCGTGACGCCAGAACGCTTTAAACACTAGGCTACCCCACCGCCCCACGACAGCTGGCTTGCTAGTGTTCATCTAGTCGAGGGGCGGTGGGGTAGCCTCAGTGGTTAAAGTGTTTGCTCGTCACTCCGAAGACCCCGGTTTGATTCCCCACATGGGTACAATATGTGAAGCCCATTTCTGGTGTCCCCGCCGTGATATTTCTGGGATATTGCGTAGAAACTCACTCACTCACTCATCCAGTCCATGTTACCGCTGCTGTCAATATCTATGGACTGAGGTTCGGTGCGGATTGATCCACAAACGTTGTGACTTTCACCTTTCGTTCAGATGCCGTACAAGCTATACCGAAAGTGTTTGTTTTTATTAATACCTCTTCAGAATTCATCTAAAGAAATATATCGAAAATTACATTTGTTTCATAATTGATCCGTGGAAAATAATTTTCTTTTTTCCTGTTGTGTAGATCTATCCTTATCATTTCAAACCATCACTTATGTCATATACATCCTTAAAACATCATTATTCATCATGATAAACAAACGTGCTTTGGAATATAGACTGGCCCAATTTCTGAACATCGAAATGAACAGTTCTGTCATCCTGGTCCGACGCCCACACCCAAACAGTCAGCTCATCATTCTCTAAACTCTCCCCGATGTAAGTGTTCCTCATGGACTTGATGCCACGTTTGACCACATCCTTGTTAACGGCTCCCATGCAACCTTTCTCTATGGCATAATGCAAAGCGTTGATGCAGTAGTCGACGTAAGTGGTGTAATTGGTATGATTGTAATTGTCAGTATGCATCCAAGCTACCTTGGCAGTGTACTGAGGGGCGTCAGTTGGTCTTTGCAATCTTGGAACGATCAATGGATTCTTCAAGATGGCGGATCCGCCATGTTTCTCCCGCCACCAATCCGGAAGTGGTTTCGGTCGTCTGCTTGTTTTATCCATTCCAACAAGATGATTGATGTTTCTAAGGATGGCCTGTCCGGTCGAGGGAACAACGATGGACGCTACAGTACTAAGGGAAGACTTGCCCACATACCCGAGTTGATATAAAACATCTAATGGGCTCTTGGGTACAGACGTATCGTACACTGCCTTTTCTGATATGACCTCTGACGAAGCCACAAAAGTCAGTCTGTCTGAGGTCAGCTGTGCGTAGTCAAATATCGTCCTTCCAGTTTCATCGAGCAACGTGGGTGGCAAATATTCTTGCTGATGTAACAAATCTCATAAGACTCGACATTGGAGGGTTTCCTGCAAAATATATTTCCGTTTCAATGAAAGCATTTAGATACAGCTGAAAATCGAAGTTTGGAATTATATTTTAATTTGCAAAGTAATCTAAAACAAATAATAACAGCATATATGTCTCAATCAAGAATTCAATAATTCAACGCAATGTTAGCATATGTTTCATGTTCTCTTATTACTTCAGTCAAAGCATTAGATGAAACACTAATACACACATGTAATGATATTTATGAAGGAATATTTATATGTGAATATATAAGTTGGTGATATTCCATTTTTATATAATGAGGGAACCCAGTTGAATATATTATATATGGAAAATGATTAGTCAAATATTTTGTGAATTTCGTGCAAGCCTTGTTCAGGATGTGCACGTGATCAGGGTGAGGGTAAATTCGGACAGTGAAATGTGTCAATATGTTGATGTACATTTCGGTTATACAAACGGAAGGTTGTTTTGACATAGTTTTACACTCAGTTGAGTAAGTGAGTTTAATTTTACGCCCCACTTAGCAATATTCCAGCTATAATTATGGCGGCGGACTGTAAATAATCGAGTCTGGACCAGACAATGCAGTGGTGAACAGCATTAACATCGATCTACACAATTGGGAAACGATGACATGTGTCAACCCAGTCAGCGAGCCTGACCACCGTTAGTTGCCTGGTGCGTGAGTGAGTGAGTTTAGCTTTACGCCGCACTCAGCAATATTCCAGATATCTCTTACCACAAGCATGGGTTATTGAAGATCAATTCTAACCCGGATCTGTGCACATTGAGCATGTTGGACGATAATTACCTTTACCACAATAAATTTAAAATGGTACATAAAAATAACACCATTAATTACCATCTCTGTCTATGGATTCATACGATAACCCTGGTGTGTGGATCACGGAGTCTTTCTCTGTTTCGGAAACTGTCAGGCGGTACATATTCTTCAGGTGAGCCATGGAGCGTCTACAACACGATACAAGTCACATCAGTTATAATAAATCAAAAACTGTATCCAGATAAACAGTGAAAGGTGCAAGCTTGTACATGGTTCTGAAATAACCATGGCAAATGTGTGAGTATAAGCAAGCGGATACTGACACGGTCAAGAAACGCAATCAGCACAGCAAAATTGCCGATCCTTGCATCAATGGGAAAAAGAGGTCATATGAGGATATAAGATATATTTGGGATTTACAAATAACGTCAATTAGCTTTTTAAAGCCATAGCATCTTGACGAACCACTCACGCCGGAGCAGTTTGATTCTATGGGTTTTGTTTGGTGTGAACCATTCCTGCTAGTAGCAGTGCGTCAAATTAAGATTAACAATGTCAAGGTTGTTTGATTGCCAAGCACACTCGAAGAATATTCGGAAACGCACATAACTGGATCAAGTCCGGATCAATAGGTTTAACGTACACAATAAAATGCATCGAAAAGATACCAAGGCAACGGCAAAACTGACAAAAACAGCTCAAGGGAGGTAACTCTGATTTAGGCTGATTCCAACCTTTGACCCGTTTCGATATCACAGCAAAACAGATTTGCCTGTGTGGATCTTTAATTAATTTACTTACTTTGTAATTGGTCCTTGAGCGACACTTTTCTGTTCTGATAATTCTTCTTTGCTGAAGTGTCGACCCACACATGGGCAATATATATCTATTTTCCCATAACCACATCTCAAAGTCCTCAGCAGTTGACCGACCCGGCGAACAGACCATGTTTGAGTCGAAAACATTCCGGTAGGTAACAGACGAGAATCGCAGAGAAATGATCATCAAATGCGTGTGAATATAAGTACATTAAAACCAACCGCATCCCAGTTGTGAAAGAAAGGCTAAACTGACAGTACCTAAACAATGATACTGTGTGTTGAAAGTGACGATGAACGATGTAGACCCAACATGGCTCAGTAAGGGAGGTAACTCTACAATGTTTACATTATCCTTCGTTACATACTTCATGTTTTTAATTTATTGTCTACCCCCGTACTATGTCGTATGTTTGAACCCATACCCAATGCCCAGGAAACGGGGGTTATCGGACATTAATGCCAGCCGACACTGTAAGGCAGTTATTCTCTGGGAAAAGTGGGACCGTTAATAAAAAAAATATATATATTTTTTTTATTTTTTTTTAAAAAAAAAGGGGGGATGGAGGGGGGATGGTGATTTTATGGAGAATGTGAAAGACCCCCCCTAAACTGTATGTACAAAATAAGTGAAACCCACCCCCCAATGTCATATACATAATCAATTACACACACACACACACCTTCCCATAATTTCTAAGCATAATGTTAAACATACTTTTATGTACACAATTGCTGACCCCCCTGGTACGTGTGTACAAAATGTGTGACCCTCACCACACACACACACACACACACACACACACACACACACACACACACACACACACACACACACACACACACACACACACACACACACACACACACACACACACCTTAAAATCATCACCCCACCCCTAGGCCATTAATTATGAACGGTCCCTAACTGCCTAAAATTCTCAATAAATATACATGTATGCGCTTTCGGGAATTTTGTACATGATACATATTCAACTGCGCTATAACTTACCCATATAATGTAGTATTTCTTTTCACACAGTGGAATTCACACAGAGTTTATATCAAACCGTCCTGCAGAAGCGATCAAACATATCTTTTCTTAAAAACTGATAATGCTATTTTTCACAATAAACGAACATACGAATATCCTTAAATGTTTTATTGACTTTCCATCAGAACATTCCAAGGAACACAACCAGACATGGGGACCTTAGGTTGTTAAGCGTAACCATCAGATATTACTTCATTCATTGTTCTAAAAATTCGACATTAAAATTAGATCAGTATTCATATAAAACATTCCATGTCAGCATTTGGAGTTTCAGATCTCAGCTATGAGTCCATGATATCTCATATTTGTTTATCTATGTCATCGTAAAATGTGACAATGCAACACTCATAGTTCATTCATTAGTGTTTGTGAGTCCGATTCCTTGACCACCTTTCTTCATCTGTCGAACTGACAATGAATTTATTTTGTGAGGTTAAAATATCCCACTATTATTTCATATTTTAAAACAGACGTTTCAACTGTACGTCTGACAATGGGTGTTTGTTTGAAGACGATTCAAGCTCCTCGAGGAACTAAAGATATATCTTCATGAACTAGTTTAAGATGTCGTAACTAAACAATTGTAGATATTGTAATAGCTAACCTAATGACCATTCAGAAGACTTCACTGTGTTGATATTTCGGCAGATGTATTCTAAATGGAATGTTGGAGGCCAAACTTGAACTCGCTATCTGCAGTTTATATTCTGTTGTATAGTATGCTACGCAATGTCTACTTGTTTATATTGACGAAATATTGTTGTTAATTTTGTTGATTTACTTATCCCTTTCTCAGTTGTGATCATCCTTTCGCATTTCGGTAAATCGTCAGCAACCAATGGACCCCGTGGTCGTCGCGGTAAGAAATTATTCATCCTTAGCAACCATTTGATTTGCTACGCTACTGGGTCTCACGGACCAATCAGATTGCTGTTTGCAAACCAGCCTCGATATCAACATTGCGGTAAACTTCTTTGAGCTTAGAGTCTTCTTCTGCCTTTTGTTTATACGACAGGCTTTTGATATCTCCAGTTTCAGTCATCAAGATTCCAATCAGTTATTATCCTTTTGTTTAAACCACGCGCTTGTGTTTATGCCTAATATCAAATGTGATTATCACCAACCCTAAAACATTATTATTCATCATGATAAACAAACGTGCTTTGGAATATAGACTGGCCCAATTTCTGAACATCGAAATGGACAGTTCTGTCATCCTGGTCCGACGCCCACACCCAAACAGTCAGCTCATCATTCTCTAAACTCTCCCCGATGTAAGTGTTCCTCATGGACTTGATGCCACGTTTGACCACATCCTTCGTAACGGCTCCCATGCAACCTTTCTCTATGGCATAATGCAAAGCGTTGATGCAGTAGTCGACGTAAGTGGTGTAATTGGTGTGATTGTATTCGTCCGTGTGAATCCAAGATACTTTGACACTGTGTTGAACAGCGTCAGTTGGTCTTTGCACTCTTGGAACGATCAATGGATTCTTCAAGATGGCGGATCCGCCATGTTTCTCCCGCCACCAATCCGGATGAGGTTTTGGTCGTCTGCTTGTTTTATCCACTATAACAAGATGATTGATGTTTCTGAGGATGGTCTCTCCGGTCGAGGGAACAACGATGGACGCTACAGTACTAAGGGAAGACTTGCCCACATACCCGAGTTGATATAAAACATCTAATGGGCTCTTGGGTACAGACGTATCGTACACTACCTTTTCGGATATGACCTCTGACGAAGCCACAAATGTCAGTCTGTCCGAGGTGAGTTGTGCGTAGTCAAACATCGTCCTTCCAGTCTCATCAAGAGGAAGGTGGGTGGCAAATATTCGTGCTGTTGTAACAAATCTCATAAGACTCGACATTGGAGGGTTTCCTGCAAAACAAAGTTTCAGTTTTAACATTAGCATATGGTCAAGGTGACAGCAGAATGATTGAAACTGTATATTTTGTGTGCAACCTGATAAGCAATAAGTAAGCATATAACGTAAGGTCACCCATGCGTTAATTGTCGACATCTGTTACGTGTATTGCATATACATGAGTCTGGCGTTCTTGAGTTTTAGGAAGCTTAAATTGTGGAAGCCATGAGTCGCGGGAGTCTGACTTTGGTTATTTTTCGGAAGGGTAGGAGAGTAGGGGAAGAGATTGGAAGTTCTGAGGAGTTTGATCGTCGAGTAATACACACTTGATATGGATGTGCAACTTCTTTATTATTTACACACGACGTTTCTGGGCTAATACTTGCCCCTTCATCAGGTGAATGACAATGAATAGTTACAGAGGTATATATAGTATGTACGGGAAGCCACAGAGTTGTTATTACAACAGATAGGTGAGGGGATTAAGCTAAATACATACTGTTTGTACAACATGTTTACATAGAGTGAATGACCACAGATGGAAGCCAGTAACGGATATACAGTGATAGAGATTAGGTGATTGAGATGTACAATAATAGAAATTAGGCGATCGGATGTACAGCATGTTTTGGTAAACATCATTGTTGGATGGAAATTAGTTAATGCACCAAGCATTGGGAAGGAAGACAACTTCAAAATGCCTATCAAACATTTCATCGTCGAGTGTAGTATCACGCCGCTTTTAGCAATATTCCAGCAATATCACGGCGGGGGGGACCAGAGATGGGCTTCACACATTGTAACCATGTGGAGAAATCGAACCCGGGTCTTCAGCGTAACGAGCAGACGCTTTAACCACTTGGCTACCTCACGGTCCCATGAGGAGCTTAAAATGTTGAGGCGACGTTTCCGCTGTTCTATCCTGGATGTTTCAAGCTTGTTTTCATGACACTAATTATATTTTGTTCAAAACATGCTTCTGATTTACAATATAACAATACGATAATGTAAATGTTAATCTTATGGCGCCTCACGGACGTGTACTCCCACGGAACATCGAGGCCACACTGATCCATTTTCCGAGATGAAAATGCTCCGTGCACTGGAAATTCGCCATACAAATGGTCTTTGACTAACATGAATTCAAACCTGTTCACACTTATATAGAAGAAAATACCATTACCATCTCTGTCTATGGATTCAAATGACAACCCTGGCGTGTGGATCACCGAGTCCTTCTCCGTCTCGGCAACTGTCAGGCGGTACAGATTCTTCAGGTGGGCCATGTAGCGTCTATAACAAGTCACACCGATCATAATGAGTTAAAAAATACGTCCATTGAGATACATACAGAACGGTTTAATTCTGCTTTCGGTAATAATTCAGTTATTGAATAGTGTCCCCTCTTGATGAGAGAGAATGCTCACGACAGGTAGCTACACACAAGGCATTTGCATGGCCCTTAACCTACGAGCTTGGGTATGTTTCAATAGACCATGGTGAATTCGGGCGAATCCTGACACGACCAAGGGACACAACTCCGTTCAGCAACATTGCCAGTCCTTATATTGGGCCCTCGACAGAAAAACCGTTGTAGGACGTTAGATAGTTTTGTGTACATACAAGAAAATTTGCTTTATACAATGTGACCTCGTGACGACCTCTTCAGTGGGGAGCAATTTGATTTTAGTTTTATCAGGTGTTGCATATCAGATGTCTTTCAGATGACAAATTCGGTAGTATTACGAATGACTCATTAACAAATCGAATCTCAAAAGATACAAAGCTGGAAGATTAAGTGTGTACAAAGATGTACCTTATTTCATATTTCAACGATAGACCTCTGACCTTTGACCTTATGTCACGGCAACACAGATTTCAAACCTGTTGCTGTGCGAACCTTAACAGACTATATATTTTTTCTTACCTTTCAATTGGGCCGGCAACAGAACTGTTCTGATCTGACGATTCTTTTGTGCTGAAGTGTCGCCCGATAAACGGGCTATTTATGGTTAGATCCCCTTTCCCATTGCCAGATCTCAAAGCTCTCAGCAGTTGAGCGAGACGACGAGCAGACGTTGTTTTCGTCGAGGTCATTCCGATCAGTCGCTGGAGAGTCACATATGTAGGATAATCAGCAAGTGCGTGTGGATATAAGCAGTTTTAAAGCTTCCCTGTAGCGAAAGATCGGGTTATACTTGTATTAATTTTACATACCGTCTTTTATCGGAGACAGCTGAACGATCGAGGTCACGACATGTAGCACAGAAGGGGAGGTAACTCATACATTGGTATCTGTGACTTATTTCGAGTGACCGAGTAATGTTTTACGCCGCACTCAGCAATATTCCAGCTATATGGCGGTGGTCTGTAAACAATCGAGTCTGGATCAGACAATCTAGTGATCAACAGCATTAGCATCGATCTACGCAATTGGGAACCGATGACATGTGTCATCAAAGTCAGCGAGTCTGACCACCCGATCCCGTTAGTCGCCTCTCACAAGCATGGTTATAGCTGGAATATTGCAGACTGCGGCGTTAAGCAACAACCAAGCCATCTATTTCCATTCTACAACATACGATTTTCCTGACGAGGAAGGTTTAAATGCTTCACAATATTATTCCAATTCTGGTTGTTGTCATGATCATCTGGCTTGTTACGGAATCCAATTCAAATGGGGCCAGTGATCAGTCATGGCGATGTTTCAGTAATCATTGTCAGGTCCATTGTGTTACACATAAATAATAAATCAATAATCATATATTATTCTTCTCGCCGCAAATAGCTGCAACATTGCTGATGCGGCGATAGGCAATATTCACTCGCTCATATATTCTTCATGTTAGCGGGGAGGTGGGGTAGCCTAGTGGTTAAAGCGTTCGCTCGTCACGCCGAAGGACCGGGTTCGATTCCCCACATGGGTACAATGTGTGAAGCCCATTTCTGGGCTTATTGCTGGAATATTGCTAAACTCGGCGTTGAACCCAACTCACTCACTCACTCTTCATGTTAGCATTACAAATACTACAGCTGGTATACATATTACATTATATCAAATATATAATTTCTTCGTTCGACAAAACACTGGATAACAATCATTCAGGGACCATTCATACAAACATTATTTTCATATCTCAGTTATGCATCAAAGTACGCCATATTAATATCATAAATATAATATTTGCCATTGAAAAAGTTATTGCTCTTCCAGCATATTAACGATGTTCAATATAAAATTATGATGTGTCCGTACCTGAGTGCAATATATGCACCATGACAATAATGTCATATTTTTCCATACATATTCAATAAAGCCTGCGATGTTATACACGTACACTATGAACATATTTCCCACTTCCAGATATTACATTTCAATCATGATATTAGTTTACATCCTTCAGAGAGTTTGTAAGTGACCTTACCTTAACGTAGAATGGGGAATTCCGTGATCAGCCAAGGAGATACGTTCTGCGTTTATTGAGAGGTCCAGTTTGGTAATAGGAATTCGCGGACAGCTTTTTTATAGTCTAAAAACTACTCTAGACACCACTGGTCAACGTCGGAATTCTCTTCATTGGCCAAAATGGACAATGAGCCCTTTAACTATAATTTTGGTTGGTTGAAATAGATTAGGTAAAATTTACAAAAGAAATCGACTGGACAAGCCGAAATGAGTATTTTGAGTTGTCACGGTGATAGCAGCGTCAATTAGATCAGATTATTTATTGTTTGTGTTTGCGACTGCTCTCTCGGTGTCAAATCAGTTATTAATTACAGCTGGTGTCACGTGACCGCGACACAATGGTACTTGCGTGAGATTACATAGTCTGACAGCCTAAACAAAGGTCATTACGTAATATTAACTAATTTACAGGTAACAATAGATAGTATATGTTTGATGCAAGTTTGCATTGCTTGGTTAGCAATCGTCACTTTAATTAAAATGATGTTTCAATGTTAGTGACTGTTTAGAATGAATACATGACACGTTTTATGAATAACAACTTCCTTTGTTCTTTATTACACAGTTATTGCACATGTAGCAAATATAAAACTATCTTCATGCAAATCAATATGAAATTGTAGAGTATGCAGTGTCGGACTGTCACAAATTCGATTTCATTATGATGATTATTGATGTCAACTTAATTTTAGAGATAACATTAATTTGATATTTAGATATCAGCCAATGACAGCCATGAGGACTCAAAATGTATTGTCATATCACAAAATGCATCTTGCAATGGAATGAATTGTATATATGGTATCGAAATGTATATTAAACAAATTGAACAAGTAGTTTTCGTTTAGTTTCCAATTTTCACATATCTAAAATCTCATTATTAAAGGGGCGGTGGGGTAGCCTAGTGGTTGACGCGTTGGCTCGTCACGCCGAAGACCCGGGTTCGATTCCCCACATGGGTACAATGTGTGAAGCCAATTTCTGGTGTACCCCGCCTGATATTGCTGGAATATTGCTAAAAGCGATGTTAAACCTCACTCACTCATTCACTCATGTTAGTGGAACATTTGTATAGCGCATTTCCAGTTGAGATAACATTGTCAATGTGCACAGAGCGTGATGTTGCTGGAATATTCCTAAAAGCGGCGTAAAACTAAACTCACTCACTCTAATCATTCACACGAGAGTAATGGGGAGTCCTGAGTAAGTAATCGATATTAGACAGCCACAGGGTCATTTTATACATAATCAGTGAACAATTGAAATATTTACAATCAATAATTAGCGTATGTTTACTGTCAATAATACAGCTGTTTTTATGCGAAAAACATTAGATGAACATAATTATCATTTTGTGGTTACTTGCTAGTTTGGAATCTAAAGCGGTGATATTCTAGTTATTTTCTGTCTTTTGTTGACAGATTTTCATATTGTTTTGCTAACCTGTACACACACACACATAGTCACGATATCCCTGAAACATTGCCGATTCACAATGACTTTAAATGTTTTAAAACTCGCTCACTCATCCTCACGCATTCACTAACTCACTTCCTCACCATACACACACATACATACATACACATACATACACCACATCCACATCACACATACATACATACATACAGGTACACACACACATACATACATACATACATACATACATACATACATCCATGCATGCATACATACATACATATTATAAAGGTGCACAATGCCATACAAAGGTTAATTAACATGTGGTTGACACACTCTAATACGTAACCCGAGGGTGCATTCATACAAGATATACAGTATACACAGTCATATACATATTCAAAACAGCGTAGTAAAGTTAATCGGAATGGAAGTAATCCGAACACTAGCTCATGAGAATATCTGAGTAACACACCAAAGTATGACAGGTTCCAAATAAATCTGAATGTAGTGCCAAGGGTAATAACAATACCCTAGAAGGCGGTAGATGGTTCTAGTCACATGACTTGTAGCACCGGGTAGCCATTTTCAGCTGGGGGAACAGAGGCAATTTTCAACAAACTCACTTGCCAAATGTGAGACCACATGTATCGCGTGTGCTTCGTTGTGGGGCAGGACTGAAGTCCTACAAACTCTCAGGAGTTAAGCTGTCGAACACGGCACCCATCCAAGGACTCCCCGCGCCCAACGTTGCTTAACTTACCTGATTTGTGACCTGAGCGCTATGCACATGATCACACTCCACCATATTTTTGAATATAGTTGAGAAACACTAGATTGAAGTTAAGATAGAATAGCATATGGTAAAGATTTAACACAATAATTATAAGTAAACGATGTGTTTATTAGTCTAATTCTAACCCGGACCGTCACGGGTCTATACAACAGAGAATGTGATGCAGCCTGTGAGGTGAGGTGAGGTGAGGTGAAATTGGGTTTTACGTCGTGCTTGAGAATATTTCGCTCATATGACGACGTGCATGCGTGTGTATGTGTATGTGCGGCTGCTTGTACTAGGCCAGACTGAAGCTGGTTTTATAGTGCTAGCCCACTGAGATACCATGCCGCAGTGAAGCATGAATACCCCACTCAGACACATTATACTGACTCCGAGCCGACCAGTCCTTGTTGTACCCAGTAATGCCGAGCGCCAGGAAGGGACCAACAAGTACCATACTTTAACGTCTTTTGGTATGACGCGGTCGGGGATCGAACCCGCGACCTTCCGCTCTCCGGTGATGCAGCCTGTAACATAGTTACTATACACAAACCATATACCGACGATAACCAATTATATGCCACCGTAGTTCACTCTGCAGTGTTTATGATGCTGAGTTTGAGAAAACCTTTCATCATCCTTGGAACTGGCAATGAATTGATTTTGTGAGGTAAACAAATCCCTATGCACTTTCTAATTTTATAACAGACTAGGTGTCTAAGCGGTGGAACCTCCGCTGCTCTGGTTTGAAGAAAGGTCCTCAAGTATCTGCCTGCATCTCCATTGAATATAGAGGCGTTATTGTTCCATATCCATGGATCGCTATTGACGTCATATCCGGATTTAAGCAACTGACCAATCACCCCAAAGCCCTCTGTACAATCTAACCGCGCGGCCATTAACAATAAAGATTCGTGTGAAGATGAAATTTCTTCCAGGAAAGCATTTATTTGAATTAAATAGTTTAAGACGTCCCATTTCCGCAACAGCAAGGCAAACTGAACAACTGTTAATCCATTGCGGTTAAGGATTCTAAGATTTGCCCCTTTTCACACAGTAGTCTGACGGTTTTAACCCGGTTTTCGGCTATTGCCACGTGTATGGGACTTTCGCCCGACCTTGACCTTAGATTGAGAGAACATCCGGTTGACACCAACGTTTCCACAGTTTCATGAGAACTCCTCACAATGGCATAGTGCAAAACAGGCTCCCCAGATCCCTCGGTTCTAGAATTAGGATCTGCTCCGTGTCCCATTAAGCACCGAATGACCTCTACACGGTCCGCACGTGCAGCTTTGTGCAATGGCGTTCGTCCATCGCTGTCTCTCACGTTCACATCCACGCCTGATTCTATCAGCTTCTTCAAATGGCTGACATTACCCGCGGAACACACTTCGTGAATTTGATTTTCACCTTTGATTTTCTCATGGTTGATGTGAAGCATTTTCGAAAATGCCCTTGTGATTGTTGCAAAGAGAGATGCACAGTGGTTTGGTCATGTATTGGCTTGACAGAAGCGCAGGGTGTTTCAGCCTTTTGCGTTTATCAACATCAGATCAGATCCAAAAATATCACCGGTACATCTCTCCTCAGCCTGAGAAACACAGTACAGGGACGGCGAAAACAGTCGATGCAGCGGCTGACAGCCTACAACTTTGCTTAGACGGTGTTGCATAACACATCTACGAGTGTACATAGCATAGGGCTGTTTGGTG